GGCGAGATGGAGAAGGCTTTCTTCCGGATCTTCGACCCAACAGGTCTGCAGAAGACATGGATTTGGAGCAGGGAGGAGCAGACCATTCCGCCACCGAGCAACGCCTTTGAAGACGAAGACTCTCTGAATAGATTGGGAGAGCACTATTCAGCACACTGGCAGTTTGTGAGACAGACGGGTGGGGCCGTTCCATGCTGCAGTCCCTGCCATTTTCGTGGGATCAAATGTAGACGAATTAGGAAAGAAGACGGAGAAGATTTCGCATGTGGCTTGTGCCCAAACAATGCCAGAGTTTCCGATGTTGTGGTTTTGCTTGAGGGAGGTAACGTACCGTATTTATTACGCAGATTGCCCGATTGTGGATCTCCTGGGAAGAGAAAAGAAGACGACGACAATGGAGATGAAAGAGACGAAAGGGAACAGGAAGAATCGCCCGATGGCCATACTTTATTCCCAGAGAATTTCCAATTCGTTGGCGAGTGCTTTGCGGATGGGTACATGAATGGAGAGGCATGGAAGAGTCTTGTGAGCGATTTAGGCAGCTCGGGGTTAGAAACATTTACCCTGGTGTAAAGGGTAGAAAAACTGTCAATGTACTTACCAACCAATTGTCGTGTTCTTAGATAGAACAGAACCAGACTCTTGGCTCTCGGGATGAAGTCTCGCTCGAGGAAGTGGATTATGGCGGCGGCTACCTCAAAGAACCTAATGCACCTTCATTCTTATCATATCCAAATTGTTGTGGAACTTCGTCAGAGAAGTGTTGAGGATATAATGTGAATTTCGCTTCACATTCGGAACCCCCGAGCCTGAACCCCGTGCGATCCGGGTTTTCACCCACTTTTCCGGGACTACCCCGTTGCCGCTCCACGGCAATTTAACTAGGCGGTGTCCGATGAGGTCCGGGAGTTCGGCAGAAGAACAGATTGAAAAGGCATTTGATTCACTGATCAACGAAATCCGAGCTCACCGTTTGCAAAACGGAAGATCTTATCGCGATGGTCAGTTTGATATAGTGTGCCATCAGCCAGGTTTCCGGAAGACTAAGCCTACAATAGCCTTCAACTCATCGCGATTTTGGGTCTTTGCAAGGACAAGCTTTCTTACTTCGTTGGTTTCTCCGCTGTCATGAAGATATGGGCGAGCGTGAGCCGAGGCTCTTCTCTCAGTCCCCATACAAGGCGGACCTTTTCGTTCTCGGGACCAGGACACGGACGTTGTGACGAGTAGACGAGAGCCGGCCAGCCGTCCGCCTTACCTTCTGCCGCCCGGTATGATGAGTGAGGCACACGTGAAGGTCCACAAAAGCCGTCAAAGATACAACGCAAGGCGATATCACGGCTAATAAATGACTTGCAGCGGTGATATAGCCATGGTAGAATTAGGCGCCGATCCTGAATGAGTCGTGCTCGGTAGCCGGGGTGTCTTTTCTCTTAAACGCCGCCTGCGATTCGATCATCAGTGCCACGAGCATGCTTCAAGTTCGGGAAGTTGTTGGAAGATCGCATCACATACTTTGATCGCCCCCAATAACACAAGGACGCATGGGTCAATATCACCACTTCAAGTTAGGACAGGTGTTGGGAGGGCGCACATCATTACCAGATTACGATTGTCATCATCTATGGGTATCCGCTCGACTAGCATTGACATATTTGCACGCGTGGGCACGCATTTCTCTCCCCACACACCGCTATGGCCGCCCTTACAAGGCCAGGATCCAGTCCCGCAGGACCTTTTGGATCTCGTAGCTGTTCTTCTCCATGAAGAACATGTGTCCGTTGCCGTGGATGCCAGCCTCGCCGAGCTCGAGGTGCTCGGTCTTGCTGCATCCGGCCTGCTGCAGGAACTCCACGGTGCAGTGGTCGTAGGGCGCGTGGTAGGAGGCCTCGGAGGTGACCAGGAGGATAGGCTTGCTGGCGAGGTTGACGAGCTGGCGGGGCGCGGGCTCCTCAGCTTGCAGGACGCACTGGACGTAGTTCTCGCCCTTGGCGGCGTAGGTCGCCTGGACGAGGTCGGTGGTAGGGTCGGTGACCTCGGGGGAGTAGGTGATGGGGATGTCGGTCAAGCCATAGGGACGGCCGGCCTTGGTGCTGAAGATGGCTTCCTGGAAGGGAGGGCCCGTGGGCTCGAGGAGGATGAGGGCCTTGGTGAGCTCGGGGCGGGCGTCGGCGATGATGATGGGCATGAGACCACCCTGGCTGTGACCGAGAACGACGGCGGGGCGGCCGATCTTGTCGAGCAGGGCGGCACCCGCGTCTTGGACGGTTTTCTGCTGGTACGTGGCGTTGTTGACGAACTCGACGTTGGAGCTGTAGAAGGCATCGAAGATCGGGTCGCCCATGGTGCCAGTACCGGGCCACTGGGTGTGGTTGGCAGCTTGGGCCCAGAGCATATAGTCCTTGACGGCGGTGAAGCGCTGCTGGATGATCTCAGCGGAGTAGGTCGAGGGCTTGGTTGCGCCGTAGGCGGGCATCCAGGCGGAGCGGCCACGGAACGTCTGGTCGACGATGTAGACCTCGAAGCCCTGTCTCACAAAGTGAGAAGCCCAGCCACGGCCGCCATCGGGCTTGTTGAGGAAGTTCTGGGGACAATATCAGTAAGGTTCAAGGCTCGGCCGAGAAAGATTGTGACCTTCCGAAGAGGGCCTCTTTGGGATCTGCATTGCACTTACGGTACCCGTTTGGGCCTGTCCGTGGATCAGGACGATCGGCGTCGCTTGGGTGACGCCAAAGGTAGGGAGCAACTTCTCAACGTACATCTGGTCACGGAAGATGTGACCGCCGGAGCCATCGTCGACGTAACCGCCTCCGACGTAGAAGTAAGAACGAATGTAGGGGACCTCCGAATCAACGCAGCCCTCATCCGGCGTAGGCGGCGCGCCTTGTCCCGGGAAGCCTGGCGGTCCGCCGCGTTGGGGGAACGCGGAGGCCTGGCCCAGCAGAGCGGCGGCCACAGAAGCTAGCTTGAGGAACTGCATATTGTGCTGCGTCGGCGTGTCACTTTGATACCAAATGAGACACAGGGGGCTAGCAATTGACTAGATGGGAGACCCTTTGGAACAAAAGGAGTGGAAGGGGGAAGGGAGAACCGAACCAACGGAGAGTGACTGAGAAAAAGAGCGACAGTGGTTGGGCAGGGGATCAACAAAGTTTCCGTCCACGCGACGGAAGGGTGGCAACTCATTCTTTTTAATTGAATGAAAATCACCTTGCCGCGAGCTCCGCTAGTCTAGCATAAGGGTCCCATCCTTCGAGTGATTTCAATGATAGGGCTGATGGAGCGGCCAAGGAATGAGGTAATACGACGTCGAGACATGGCTTGCCGGTGAGCTTAGCGGGACGCCACCGCCTCCAAGGCTTCGATTCGGTCTGTAAGTCTGGATAGCGGCACTCGCCCGATGGACCGAGACGCCACGCGGCCACTTCCCGATCGTGGGATGGAGACTGGGCAGCTTCACGGCGTACGATATACGGCGGAACTCGGGGGGGCTCAATTGACAATAGGGGATAGTTGGGGGTTATTCAGCACTGCCTAATTTCCATTCATCGAAGAAGTTGGCCTGCCCATATTAAAGTGGTGTTGTCCGGGCGCGAGTCAGTTAGCCGACAAGGACCAGGGCCTCAACACACGCGAGGGTCTCATATAGAACGGGGCCGCGGTAGCATCGTCGAACAACCATGGATATTAACCTTCACTAGAGGGCTGGATGCGGATCATGTCCGAGCATTAATCTCCGTGCGCAGAGGAAAGAGGAGAGAAAAACTGCTTCGGGATCGCTTTCTTGGGCGGCTGTCAGACGCAATGGGAAGCTCGGGTTTGGGGGCTAAGTTCTGTCAAAAGAACAAGTGCCGAAGAGGGAACTGGTGTGCTTGAAGAGAGAAAAGCAATGACTTGCAATTGTGGTGGGGGAGTTTGGTGATCTTATGGCGGGTCGAAGAGTGGTGATTATGATGATCTTGATCCATTTCCCACATCTTCCCACATCGGCCGTGGACAATCGGTTGATCGGGTCCAAAATTCACTGGGGAATCAAGGAATCAACCTGCTCGACTCCAAGTGGTGGCCAAGACCGACTGTCTTACCGGCTTTTCAGAACGGCAAGACGGCTGTGGCTGTATCTACCGCTAGCTTTTGCTAGTGCCCAGATGAACCGTCAGGCCATCCCCGTCTTTTCCTAGTGGATGTTTGCTCCTCCGATGCATCCCTGCAAGGTACGCGCACGCACGCACGCCCGCCACGGGGGGGGGGGGGGGGGGGGGCAGATTTTGATATCGTATTTTGTGTCTTTCAACTCCGTCGGCAAAAAGATGAAAAGGGTCTGTCCGGTTCCGGTCGCTGAAGAACAAGATCTAAGCGAAGGCTGCCTGTTCATGCCGGTTGTTGTTGAAGAATCAAGAAATCCGCTCCACACTCGAATCGTCTTCGGTACGCTTAAATCCTCTCGGCAAGCGATGTTGCATGCGGTGCTGCGGCACAAGAAAAAAAGAAAGAAGACCCCTGGATCTTACGTTACCTCTTGTAAGTCCGTAACAACCAGTCCGGTCACCTCGGCTTCTAGAAGTCTAAAGACCTCCCCCCTCGGACAGAGCCCCACGGTGGATCGCAATCACACATCTGTCCTGGGATGGGGGAGTCTGCAGCCGACGTGCATCCGAAGGCGCAGGGAAAGTTGGGGTTGAAGAACGGAGGTCTCAAGCCCTGATCCTTTCATCTGGGCCGGCCTCTTCGCAAGGTCTGGAAACTGGTCACGCCGCAAGAGTTTCTCGGAATGGCATGATGCCCTTTCGCAAGGCGCCGGGATGAGGAGACGTACGGTTGGGACTAAGCAGGGCCCCTATCTCTTAGTGTAGGTGAGGCAAAGAGGATAATAATGGTTCATGAACTGCCCCGTCTGCACTGCTCTCGAAGGACCCTTTTTTCGTCGTCTCTTTCTCTCTCTTGACCTTCCCTTCGTCCCACGTCGCTGTGCGAGTGCCCCCTTCGGAACTTCGCCGGCCATGGATGACCCGACGCTCCTCATCCATTGGCTCTTCAGCTGCCTGGCCTTGGCGGTCATGTTCGCCAGGCTAGTCTGGAGGAAGATAGCCAGGCAGGAGTACAACCTGGGCGACTATCTCACTATCGCCGCCTGCGTCTGCGCACTGACTCGACTTGGCCTCATTCATGTGGTGTTGACCTGGGGGACGAACAACGTGACGCCGAAATATCGAGACTCGCACAACTTTACAGACGAAGAGATCTACAGACGGGAGATCGGCAGCAAACTGTCTCTCGTCAACCGGGTTTTTTACAACTCTTAGTCAGTTCTCCCCTTTGATAACCCCCTGGTGCACTGCAACAACCCATGTTGCGTTCTCGCTTGTATGCCCTCTTCTGCACGCAATCGAGTCAGGAAGGTTTTTAGAGTTGCGATCGATATACTAACTCGACTCAAGTCTTTGGTTACAGAAGCTTGTCTTGTTGGACGTCTACCGTCGTCTCATTCTCAACTTGCGATATGAGAAGATCACCATTTGGTCCTTTTCCCTCATTTTCTTTGGCACCTACGTCGCCTGCCAGGTGACGACCTTCAGCGAATGCAACCCCTTTCACCTTTACTGGCAGGTTCTGCCTGACCCTGGTATGTGACTAGTCATATTTGAGGATTGTCAATAGAACATTATGACTGACAACTTGCCCTTGCAGGATCATGTTCTAAGGCCCAGCTTCAACTTGTTGTCGTTGGAGTTCTTAACATTGTGACCGACTTCATGCTTCTCGTTCTCCCGATTCCATTGGTCGTCTCCCTCAAGACCCCTTGGCAGCGAAAGATCCAACTCTACGCCCTATTCACCCTCGGAATTTTCATCATTGCCATCACCGTCATCCGCCTGCCGATCAACATCAACAACAAGGACCTTCAGACCAACCGCACGACATGGGCCAGCACCGAGCTGCTCACCGCGGCAATTGTCGTCAACGCCCCGACGATCTACGGCATGTGGAACAAGAGGAGGCAGAAGAAGTCGTCAGGAAAATCAACCAACCCATCAGGTCTTCACTACTACGGCGGCGGCACCCACGCATCGACGGTTCATCGATCGACTGTTCGAGCCCAGGGACCGGAGGAGTCGTTCGCGATGAACTCCACAAGGCGCAAAATGGGTCCCATGGAGGGAATCATGCAAACAAAAGAGGTCATCGTTTCAGAATTTCGGCAAGATGGAGACCACCGTATAAATGGACGATATGAGAATCTCCCGGATGATGTGGAGAATGCATCCAATCATTCGAGCCAACACGGCATTTTGAAGAAGTAATGAGAAATTTCATAGAGTAGAATAATATAACGGCATTACGACCCAAGTTTTCTTCATCTTCTACAGTACTTGATCATTGATTAACATTTGGCGAAGAAAAAGAGAAAAAATCGCGCTTGAATTTTTTTAGGCTCGGGAGACGTCCGAAATCCTACCATGGAGTAGCTGGTTAGCTCCCGATATTAAGGCCCCGATCCTCCCGCAATTCAGCGCACAGACGACACGGGATCGGCATCATCAGACGAACACAACTCCAAGGTGAACCCTTGGCCTTAAGACGGGAGCAATCAAAATGCAACCTTCAATCACCGGTATTCAGGGGCTTTATCCTCATTAGACATTGGCAATATGGCAGTTGTTATTGCTTCGAAATGCAAAGACGATGGTTTCAAACATTTGCAATGTAGGAAGATTGAATAGGGGTCAATGACAGTCGGCAATTCTGATCCCAGAGTCTTGCAGGTGGGTGGCCCCTTGGAGTAATGTGGCTTTACCAGCTGTGGCTATGTTATCACGATCAGGTCTCAAACGGATGATGGAAATCTTTCTTTCACTGTGAAGATTTAATTCAGGCTTTACTGATAGATTTTCTGCACAGACGCTGCCACGTTGGCCAGGCTCAACGCGCTACTGGCTGATATGATGCCGATTTAGCCGGCCTCATTGCAACGATCACAGAAATCCCCAACTGGCGGAGGCCGAGAAAAGCGTTCCATGAGGCTCTGCCACAGCCTGTTTTGGAGAATACGCGGGGAGTTGCATGCGCTGGCGCAGCTCTTCTTTTGGGCACCCAAGATATCCTCTGTGTCTCCCACCAAGTAAGACATCATGACGTGGAAGGGGAGCCATCCAGCACTTATTGGTTGCACAAAGACGACCCTTGAAAGCAGGCAACCAATTGGGCATTCCCTTCTTTTGAGGTCTGACGCAGGCTCTGGCGTCTTTGAGCCGCAGCAATGGTTCGCAACTGCAAAAAAGCGCCTGATGCAAGCCATTCGGGGCGCATCGCCAGGGGTCCTGCATTAGCGAAGCTCAGCTGCAGTCACGACTCTCTTTCAGGCGATGCGGGCCGTTGGACTGCCATAAGGGCAGCAATTCCCAGAACCTCGCCGTTGTGATGAATGAATTTCCCCTCTCTTCTCAAATCTGCTACGGTTGCTTGAGGGCCACGCTCATTTTACCACTGTGTTGGGGTTTACACGGCCGTGAGAGCAGCAGTCTCCCACCGGCAGACCGAACGACGATAAGATCACCGACTGAGTGGGAGAGCTCCACTTCACCACGCCGATCCGATCGCTGGAGCAAGCGGAGATACACGTTCCCAAGCCCACGCCCCGGCCCGTTGCCCCGAAACACCTCTTGGCCGCTTCTACCAGGTTACAATGGCTGGAGAGGATGTCTCGGTGGCCATTGCGGCTCTCGTGATTGCTATCGTCGCCCTCTTTGCGGCGACGCTTCAATTCGCGCAAGCAGTGTTCGCAACAGCACGCGGCCTCCCCAACTGTGATGAGCGAGTGATGGGCAAGTGGTCCAAAAACAGCAAAAGCAAGTTCAGGTGGAGGCAGCTGCGACTTGAGATCGAGTTCGAAGCGCCCATCATTTTTCTGGCCCCTCCGGGAAACGAGAGAAACCCGGGAGAAGGCGCGGCGTGGCATGCGGAGGGCACCATAGACAGTTGCAAGCAGACCCGTGTTGACTACGACAAGCTGTCTCCCAAGAACGACCTTGAAAGCGTCCACACCGTCGATAATGAGCTTGCAACATGGGTGTACTTGCTGAATGCAATTGAGCGAATGGAAAAGGACTCGCGAGGCTGGGAGGCGGAGGAGCGGGACAAGGAATCGGGCCAAAAGTTCATGCCCGTGGGAACGAAACCGCCGCCTGTGACCCTTACAGTCAAGATCATGGCGAAGAAGAGGAGCTTTGACACAAACCCGGCGATCAAAAAGCCATACGCAATCACGACCATTTCTCATTTAGTCGAGCTTGCTTCCGTCCTCGGAATTTACTGGAAGGTTTTCGATCGTGACGACAACAAGTATCGCGCCGAAGGCAACGGCTACATCTTGACTGGCTCTCGCATAGCCGACTTCGGTATCGTCTTTGTCTTTGAAAAGACAGGCAGAACAACTTTCGGCGAACGACGACTGATACCGACATCAGAAGTCAAGGAGCTATGCTTTGGTCGAGTCCCCACTCTTTTCCGAGCGAAGAAGGATGAGGCCGAAGATGTGGAGTGGCAAGACCCGTTGAAGACATCGTCCGGAAAAGACAACGTGAAGGTTGAGATACTGGAGTTGGGCAGCGAGAGTGAAATCGCCGAGACGCTCACGCAGATCGGCTGCAATGTCGAAACGATTCTCTACTACAAAGACAAGAAGAAGCACAGGCACATCTTTCCCGGTAAGCACACCACTTCCCAAGTACAACTCTAGCTAACAGAACCATTTAGTGACCTTCGAGCTTGTTGGAATGACTGCTCGAGTTTTGCACATCAAAGGAAGATGTTTCCGCTTCTTGCCCAACCCGACGATTTTCCCTTGGGATAGGGAGTCAGTATCGCTTGTCCGGCTTCTCAGCGCATTTTCCGAGCTCATTGGTCGAGACCTAGACGGCATTCAAGACACAATCTCGCTGATGACGGAAGACGATGAGCAGCCTGATGATATGATTCAACAAGAAGTCAAGCAGATTCGCTCGATGCTCGAAGAGGCCGAGTCTCTCAAGCAAGACTTCCGCACCGATGCCGCCCTCAGTCACACCCGGATGACGAAGCTACATGAGACAATTGAGTTTCTGGATGAACTCATCGACAAGCGAAACCAGGCTATAGTCTTGGATGTTCTTCGTCGTCACTTGCAGGTCGTTCTCAAGGCCATCAACGGCCCTGGCCAGGAGAAGAACGCCAAAGATGGCAAGGGCGCCAATGGAAGCAAGCCAGCATCGGATGACATCTCATTCGGCGATCTACTAGGCGTACCTCTCGAAATGAGAGAGCAGCGTTTCATGGAGATTTACTTTGATCAAATCCTTTGGCGAGTTATTGGCTCGACAAACGTGAGCTCTACAACAGGGGGAGATCAAGAGGAAGTCACCAGGGAGATCCACAGCATCTCGAAGCTACGTAGAAGGTCACCCGTACGCGCAGAAAACGGGGATAGCGATGCTGATGTCTCGCCTGTGCCATCGCCTCGGATCCAGGTTCACCAACCTACATTTCCCACGGCAAAGCATCAACACGGGCTCCCGTCACCAGGTCTCGTGCACAGAAAGACGTGGTCATCTCGGGGCAAGGTGGTGCAAAGAGATTGGGGAAACACTGTGAAGATGCAGATTGAGATGCAACGGCTCACGGTCTGGTATACTCTGGTTTTCAGAATGATCTGCTGGCTGACACTTCACGATTTTGACAAGAAGGATGTTCAGGTGTCCAAGAGTGAGCTAATTGGTAACCGGCAGCCTGTCTTCATCATGTGAACAAGATATTGAAAAAAGGCCGCGGTTGGCCCACGAGCTTATGAGAGATTACTAGTATGCAGAATGTTTTGGTCGGTTCGTACTGGGTCATGTACAGGCGCTTGGCAGCATGTTTGGAAGAGGCCAGGACCAGTCTCTAATAATTGTGTTCGCTATCGCAAGGAATAGACATCTAGGGTAATGTTGAAAGGAGCTGCAGTTCTCTGATGCGTTCTGCCCACAGTTGTGAAATTCCAGTACTACAAACACAACAACTCAAATACACAGTCAGCACGCAATCCGTCCCAAGCTTGCAACTCAGCCAAGCTTTGGGTATCCCGTCTCGAAAAAGCAAGCTGCTCGGCCCCAAATTTGCCGGGATGAGCTAGTTAGGGCAATCTACCCCACTGCCGCATCGTTGCAGCTCCCCCGCATTGATCTGAATTTCAAGGTCCAGCCCAACTTCGTCGGAGTATCTACTACCCCCTCCAACAACAAGGCCTGCGAAAGCCGTCACTTCTCGCAGCGATCTCGCGCTCTCCCCATCATGGGATCCCGCGAGCAGCCCGCAGCGCTCCTAGAGGACCGCCGCATCTACCTGGGCAACCCGCTCTACGTCGTCCGTCCGGTCGAGATCGAGGACACACTGAAGGACAACGACTTTGGCAACTTTGAGAAGATCGTCATCTCAGTCGATCCCGTGAATGGGAGGAACCCAGGCTACTGCTTCGTCGATTTTGTCGAGCGTGCCGATGCTGAACGGGCGTTGTCTTCCCTGTGCGTCGACATACGCGGTCGCCCAGTCAAGGTCGGGCCCTGTGAGCCGAAGAAGCAACGGCAGAGAGTCTGGGGGAGGGAAGAGGAACCGAATGATAAGCGGTGGGGTAATTGGACAGGCCAGCAGGAGCCTGGTGCTGAAGGGACTGGGGACAGCCCGTACGAGGCGATGGGCCACTTTGATAAAGTCGTTGGCACGGATGGTGACGGCAGGCGGCTGTATATTGGCGGGTTGACGAGGATGATTGACCAACAACAGGCCCAGGAGGAGATGCGGGATATCCTGGCTGGATTCAATCCGTGAGTCCTAACTCGAGGCCCGAGAGGTCATGAATGCCAGGACCTTTTACTAATGCATCATTAATGACAGAAAAGAGATAGGGAAACGAGTCACACCCCACATAGAAACTCGATCCAAGCCCGGAAACCACCACTACTGCTTCGTTGATTTCGAAACGGTCGAGGAGGCAGCGGCGGTAATTAAGGCGCTGAATGGCAAGGAGTATGCAGGAGGGGCTTTGCAAGTAAGCGTCGCCCAACGAATTCCGGTGAGGATCCGGGAGCCGTCGAGGCTGCAGAAAGAAGACTCGTCTTGGAGAGGTAGACCTCCTCCTCAGAGTGACAGGCCAAGAGACGAGCAGTCGGGCACGGGATGGACCCGCAACCCGGCCCCGAGGGAATCGAAAGATGACTGGCCGACCATGTCCGCGCAGTCTTCGACAAATAGCAGCCAGCCTTCCTGGCCCGTGTCCAGAACTGAGAGGAGGTCGGAACCTGACAGGTCGTCGTGGAAGAAGATGGGTTCCGGCACCCCGAACTCATCGAGTAGCAAAACAGACCAGCCACTTAGGTCTTTGGCTTCCAGTAACTGGCGCCAGAAGAGCTAGGCAGTAATGTCTTTGAGTACATGCTTACAACGAATGTTGGAATCATCTCAGTCTTGGTTGCTTTTGAAGTAGGGGTGTAAGTCGTGGTGTTTGCGGTCTGGCAGGGAAGCGAGCGACTGGTCAATGGGATGAGACTACTTTTGAAATACGAAGAACTCAATCATCCAGCCCAACCTTTTCATACATACTATACGGAATCGTGAGGCAATGCTCATTGGCCAAGCTTCAGGTGAAGTGTACCAAGAAGCGAAACCCAAGGCTTCACATGGAGTTGATGGAAGGAAATAGGGAGGCTGTGCAGCGTCTCGAAGCGGGTGAGACTACGTGGCCGGTATCCCATATCCTCGGCCAACTCCAGAGTTTTGCAACTAGAAATTCTGAGTATCATTAATCAGGCTATACCATAGTGCGCTCTTCATCACTCACCTCGGAAGACCAGAGACATTGTCTTTTCGCACAGACGCTCCCCAAGCAGTGGATTTCTATCCTATCCAATGTCTAGACTCCAAATTCAGCCGCTCTCCAGATTCTCGGTCCGCAAAAGTCTCGTATATAGCCCAATTAACCATATAATTTCGGGATTTCCGTACTGTAAAACCTAGCTTAGAACATAAGCTTAGAACATAAGCTTCGAGCAAGCAGAGGCTAGAGTTGCCTTCTCTCCCAATGTCTCACCGCTCGTCTCATCAGATGGGGGGCAGGCTATGCCCATGATGTACTACCACGCTCACCCTTGTATGTAGAGAAAGGAGCTATCCTCCGCGAACATGCTCAGCAAAAGCTTATTTGGACTTCACAGGCATATGGGAACAGCTTCCAAGGTCCCGCCGTTAGAGCAGCAAGACTGCCCACACTAGGGGAGCTCTTCCATGTTGTCTCTGGTTTTAGAGTTTCGGCGCTATGGCGGTGATGAGACACGACTCGTCGTTGTCGCAGGAGAAGCTCTGAAAGGCCTGTGAATGCGACAATGACTCGCTACAAGCACCTTAAGCATTCATTCCCCTGCCCCCCTAACCATAGGTACGCCGTTTTCGACGCGCCCGTTACCTCATCATCGCTGGCGTAGTAGCGTCTCTAGCGGGAAGGTTTAATCCCCCCCGCGCTACGCCTAGGACGACGTAGTGAGCCCAGCCCACCAGCTGCACAAGCTCCCTTCTTACGAATCGAAAACGTTCGTTCATTAACCGTCTTGCCCGACGACAGTTCAGGAAGTGAAGCCCGACCTCCATTCCAGGACGGCGACTACTTTCCTCATCGAGACTGCCTCACCCCGAAGACCCTCACCCCGCTTGGTTTCCTTATGTCCTCCGCGCTCACTCCAGGTCCCCGAAGCTATCGCGCGCCGACCTAGCTTAGCTGACGTGGGGCTGGCGGTCGGGCACTGAAGGGACTGGACGTACGTATCGGGGTGTGCCTCCGGAGCACTGCGCGGCATCATGGGGTGCCGGCCGTCGGCGAGCTGCTTCGCCTGCAAGGCGAGGAAGGTCAAGGTTTGGATACATCATCCTCCTTCTGTCCCAATTTGGATTGAACTAACTCGATCCCAGTGCGACCTGCAAAAGCCCTTCTGCAACCGCTGCATATCCCTAGGCCGGCAGTGTCCGGGCTACGCGGACCCGTGGACGGTCGTCCACCGCCAGCAGAATGCCTCCGCGGCGCACCAGGTCCAAGTCCGCGTCGCCAAACGGCTCAAGGAGCGCGGTGACGCCCCGACGTTCCTCGCCCGGGCGGAGGGCAGCTCGCCCGAGAGCCAGCGCAGCGACTCGTCCGAGGAGGAGGAGCTGATCCGCCGGATCACGGTGATGCCGCGCGCGGTGCAGTACGACTCGGAGATCTACTCGATGCGGCACTTCCGGTCAAACTACACGTCCGGCAACGAGGTCGGCTTCTTCGATCTGCTGTTCGATCTGAAGCCGCCGGTGAACTCGCCGGGCGTGTTCGAGGAGGCGGTGAAGGCGACGGCGCTGGCGAGCTCGTCGCTGCAGCTGTGCCAGGCGGGCATGATGGCGCAGGCGAAGCAGCATTATGGGAGGGCGATGATGAAGCTTAGTGCGGCGCTGAGGGATCCGGAGAAGGCGAAGGAGGATTCTGTTGTGGTTGCGTTTCTCACTTTAGGCCTTTTTGAGGTGAGATGCAAAGTGTGAGAGTGAGAGTGAGAGAGGTTGCTGATGAGATGCAGGCGATTATACCGGATAAGACTCCGTCAAAGATAGCTTCACACTGCCGCGGGTCGTTGGCGCTGCTCAGGTATAGAGCCGAGCAGGGTATTGCTACGTGGCTGGACAAGGCCTCGTTGGCGTTCATCGCTCAGTTGGGGGTGAGCAGTCTACACCAGACTTCTTCCTGGCCACGCCGCTGAACACCCCAATTCTAGATTCTCGAGATATTCATCGGTCAAGATGGCCGGTCGCCAATACTGACTGGCTTAACCCAAGCTACGTGGGCGCAGGGACAAGGCGGCGTCGTCGAGGCTCTCATCGCCCGCGCCATCGACTACAAGTTCACCGTCCTAAAAACCACATCCTCCCCCTCCATCCACGACGCCTCCGTCGACAGGGTCACGGCCGTCTTCAAAGAAGGCATCGAAATCATCCGCGACCTCGAAGCCGCGGCAAACTACCGCGTCGCCACCCCGTCCCCGCGCCAGTCCCCCCCGGCGGCAGGCCTCCCCGACCCCGGCGTGAACACCTTCAACGGGCTCCTGCGGCGCGACTCGCCGGCCTCCAACGCGATCGCCAAGGGGCTGTACCTCACGGTGCGCCTGCACATGGTCGAGCAGATCCTCTCGCTGCTGATCGCGCTCGGCGAGCCGACGCGCGAGCAGCTGCGCGCGCTGGTGGATCTGCCGCACGGGCTGACGGCGATGGAGCAGGTGTGCGAGCAGATCCGGGTGATTTTCGGGTTCGACGGGCGCGAGAGCGTGTGCAAGGAGCAGGGCATGGGGTTCCAGGCGTGGTGCATGTTCTGGCCGATGATTGCGGTGCTGAAGTCGGCGCTGGCGGATAAGGATACGAAGTTGTGGGTGCTGGACAAGTGTTTGACGGTGAGCCAGGCGAGCGGGTTCGGGATGGCGATGTATCAGATGGGGTGGTTCCAGGGCGGTCCGTCGGAGATGGCCATTATTGAGTAAGAGCCCTCTCTGTGTTGGGGATTGGGGGGTGTTGTGTTTGGGTTCGGGAGTTGACTGGTGCATAGAAAATACCCTGTGTCAGCCTCTTTGGCGTTCAGATTTTGAGGGAAAACAGGACTTGTGGCGCTTTTATGCGCTTGATACGTTGATATAATGATATTGAGATTCTTGGTCTCGTTTGGGCAGCCAGATACTGAAGCCATCTGCGACATCAAGGTGATCGGTTCGATTGACGGGTGAACAGAAATATTGTCGGCGGCGTGATTGATCGCCTGGTTCGCATCTACCCAGATAGCCACACTGCCAAATAATGTAAAGGCATGATATCCATCTACTCTGCACCGGACGATTCTACGTTCCTACTTCAAATCTCGATCCAGCCCGCTCTCTCAACACAACCTGAGAAACTACGTTCTTACACCATTCTCACCAAACGGACTCACTTCCTCGGCACACGACCCGCCGTCGTCGCAACCCAGCACCCGCCGCTCGGTCCGAACTCCGGAGAGTTCAGGCATGGGCCGCGGCACGCACCAAGCCCAAGCTATCTCGTGCCATCCCACAAGAGCCGCCGTGCGTTCGACCAATCGTTCGGGAGTTTCTTCGGCAGCTCACTTTCCAGACTTGGAGTCTACCTTGGGAACGGCGTCGGTGGCCGCCGCGAGGGTCACGCCCAGCAAGGTGGACAGCGGGAGCGGGATGACCGGGGTAGTCAGCATGGCGATGGATAGGGTCTGGTTTATCTTGAGATTGACGCTGCCTGATATATGTATGCCGTTCTTTTGTGGTATTGGCGGCGGTGGGAGCGGTTGTAGACGCGATTTTGGGAAAGAGCGGGATGGTCGGGGGTGTTGGCCGGATGTCGCCCGGGATGTTCGGGAAGAAGTGGGGCCTTCCCGGGAAGGATTCTTTCGGCGCGGGGGAGGCATGTCGGGGATGTCAGAGTGAAGACGGGCAAGTATGGTGGATTTCTCTTCACGGCGAAAAGGTCTTCGCCTTGAATGTTTGCGTTATCTGCGATTTATACCCGTACTTTGGCAGCCTGGTTTGGACGTCGTCGTCTGATGGATGGTTCCTTTTGAAACAGCAAGGCTGGCTTCGTGGGTTGTTTCAAGCCCCTGGATATGGGCTGACATGCGCGATCCTCGACATACGCGCATTGACGCGGTTGGAGGGCGTTGAAGCAGAAGACAGGTTGTGCTTGCAAGGGAGATAGCCGTCGCCGCTTACATACATTGCTGCGACTGTCGTTGGATAACAGCAGGCTCCACGGTTGTGGGTGCACACGCCCGCTGAGCTCCTCAGTCCGGCCATCACGATGAGCGATTAATGCGAACTTCAAGGATGCACTCTCGAGGTGATAGTTAGCTAGCTGCTCTCGTACTACGAACGCGGCGCGTAGACAAGAACGGCGCCCCACGAGATCAGTGCTGCTGAAGAAGAGCTGGCCAAACTCGACAAGTCTGGTCACCACGCCTCGGCCAGCGTCGGCTACCTCGGGCGTGAGCAATGAGTAGACAGCTTTCAGTCAATCAGAGCTGACAGAACCGCTGGCAGCACTGGAGCATGCAGCATGCGAGGTGCTAGAAACCACGCATCAGCTTCGATCTTTCCATATCCGAATCTCGACCGGCATGTCGGCCGGCTGTCGTCGCCTGCCTTACCATGCAGTCCTGTCGTTGAGGTCTGGAAGAAACCGAATGGGCTGCCACCAAGTCGAGGAATCATCATTGCCGCCTTCGCCATGTTCATCCTGGCTCCCGTACTCGACTCGACCAAAGAAACAAACCCACCCGACAACAGGCGTTAGACCAGACTCACAGACGATCCGGCATGTAAAACTTTGAAATGTCATTTGGTATGTATGCTCAGGCAACTCGACGGTATGCCCCATGGTATCCTTTTTACGGGCCGTAGCCCCTCGCCCGCCCTCGGTCTAGTCTTCCGCTTCACCCCGGCCTCCCAGCGCCGCCCTCGTAATCACGTTCTCGTGTCGCTCGTTTATATGTGTATATATGCCACCCCCTCGTCGCGCTCTCGTCTATTTGGCCTGGCCGGCGCCGAGGCGGTCGTGCTCGTCAATGTCGATGGCCTCCCAGGGGTAGTTGATCCAGATGTCCTTGACGGTGCGGGCGACGAAGTACTGGCCGGAGGCCATCATGTCCTCGGGCAGGACGCCCTTCTTCTTCTTGTCCTTGTTCTACGGCAAGTCAGTATCACGGCAAAGACAGGGAAACAAAGAGACAAAAAAGGAAAACGTACGTGCAGGACAAAGATGCCAAACTGGGTCTTCTCGCCCTTGCCGCCCATGCGCTGCCTCGCGGCCTCGACGTCCTTCTCGAGCTCCTTGACGGCGTACTCGAGGGTGGTGCGGGTGTCGTCGACCTCATCCACAATCAAGATGCGCTTGCCGATGAGGTTCTCCATCTCGCCGAGGGCGCTGAGGTCGAGCCACTGGGTGCGGGTGACTTTGGTGCCGGGGACCTCGGGGGCGCCGTCGGGGGTGGCGACGCCGCCGAGGGTCTCGGGGAGGGTCTCGTAGAGGGAGAGGCCGATGGCCTGGATGGGGATGTTGGGGCTGCCGGGCTGCTTGAGGAAGGAGCGCAGGATGCGGGCGGGGATGAAGCCGCCGCCGCCGATGGCGATCATCAGCTGCGGCTGGAACTTTTCGAGGATCTCGGTCGCGGACTCCTGGCAGAGCTTGTGGACCTGGTTTGGGAGGTGTTAGGAGATGTGTGTGACTGAGGGTGTCGTCGGATGGGGAGCACGCTGTGTTCTCGTGTAGACAGAAAGACACGGAGAGAGACAGGCAGGGGTGGAACGTACATCGTTATACGTGACGTAGAGCTTCTCGACCATGTTGGCGGTTTGTTTGGAGGGGTTTGGATTCGGTGGTTTTTTGTCTGTCCGGGTGGCTGCGGGGTAGAGCTGGAATGCTGCAGATTTGGAGACGGGCTTGTCTTTCTTTTCTTCTTCGTGTTCGCTGGTGGGAGAGGTAGGGCGAGACGCGAGGGATGACGGTGTGGGATATACCGAGGGAAGGAAGACGTGGGGGAAAATAAAGAACAAAAGAAAGGAGAAGCTTAAGTAGACTCGATGGAGGGGGGGAGGGGTCCCAAAGGTGCCGCTATTCACGATCGAGCATGGGAAAAAAAAAAAAAAAAAAAGGACTGGCAGCCTGGGGCGAGCGAAAGAGAGAGAGAGAGAGTCACTGGCCGAGTGACCGACGTGACCCCTCCATCGGACCCCGCCATCCAGCTTTTTTTTTTTTTTTTTTCCTTCTTCCTGCCAAAATCATAGGCGGCTGCCATCACTGGCTCAGGCACCCGCAGCACCTGCAGCCTGCAGGACCGCCTCAAAAATGCGCTGTGGCCCTGTAGCAGCCCAGCGGAAGGGGAGAAATTTTGCTGGCGAGCCCCGCGATGAAAGCGCTGGGCGGGCCCCACTTGGGCATGGATCTCAGCGCTGCGCCCCGCATGCCCGTCATCTTACAGTGGCTGCCACCCGCTGCTGCTGTCGGAGCTCGCCGCCTACCCGGGTCATTTTAGGCCAATCATACACCTTGAAACCAATATTGGCCAATGGGAGAGCTCAAAAGTGCCCAGACCCGGTGCTCTGGCCAATCCCACCTCCCCCTTCCCATCCCTGGCCGCGGCGTTAGTGCGTCACTGAATTTTCCATCTTCCCTGTCGATGAGGATTTCACGATAATTTTCAGGCCATGCGGTTTCTGAGCTCGTCATTGCTGTCCCTGGAAGTTTCTGAATCATGACTCTGGGTTCGGAAAATATTCTGTGCTTTTCTTCACTGACCTGCATTTCCTGGACAACCGTTCATGCATGGTAACCCGAGTATGCAAGCATCCGTCATGCAGCTGCCCGAACCGGGTGTTTGACGGCAGTCATGAGGAAGGTCCTATTCATCAGACAAATTAAGGCTCGTTTTCTCCGGAGTCCCACTTGAATTGAAAAAAGAAACTCAGGAAATAAGGCATTCCTTAGTTAGAAGAGCTTCGGTGCTGTCAACACCGAATTAAAGAATTTTCAACTAGAATTGACAACCCCTTTGCTAGCTGGGCACCTTAACAACAACGAATCTCTCAAATTTATGAGAACATTCGTGATAGCTTGGTATGGAACAAGCATGTTTACAACAGTTTTCTTCGTAAACTATCAGAAGAAAATTTGTATTTTGAACGGAGAGCCATCAATATCACTCCAAGTTGAACCTAGTTGCGAACTTCTAATGCTAGAACGAGTACTAGACTGTTGGCCTGAGTAAGTGTGTTACCGTGGGTACCGTTTTTATTGTCCATATGTACCATACATTAGACAACATGGATTCTTGCTCGTAAGACTACTCACGGATGCCGCCCTCTAAGTGTTCACACAGCTACACGGATGATTAATATTGAAGCAGGAAATGCACAGTTTATAAAGTCAGCAACTGGTCAAAATATCGTAGCTTTATATTGCGCTCGTAAATGTGACTTGTCCTGAAAGACACTCATATAATGATTTGGTAGCTGTAGGTTCAGGCAACAGAACAAGAAAAGAACACAGTTGCAAGCTGGCAAGCATCCCTCAAACCCAGCACATTACCTCTTCACAGGATCATGCGCCACAACCTCAATCTCAACCAGCATCCTCTCATCCCCCAGCTTCTTCACCCCGACAGCCGTCCACAGCGCCTTGTGATTTGGCATCCACCTGCCAAAGTTCCTCACCATAGCCTCCTGGGCCTCATCCGAGAGGTCGATGTGGTAAGACCTGACCACGGCCACCTGCTCCCACCCCTTCCCGCCCGCATCTTTGAGCACAAAGTCAACGTTGTCGAAGGCCTGGTCTATCTGAGTTGTGACATCCGGGCTTAGTTCTGTTGTCTGTCTGTCCCAGCCACCTAAGTTTGGGGTGAGCGTGTGGCCATGGTAATGCGCTGGGAAGGTATTTCTGACCTTGGCCTGATATCCAGATTTGGTTGTCCATCCGCACAGCTTGATTATAAGCGTGGGACTCGAGGGCCTTGGAGCCGAAGCCCTCGTAAGTGAAAAAGGTGAGATGCGACATGTTTGCGCGAATTACATTTGCCGAGAACCTATGAGTATGGATAAACGAGGGCTTGAGAAGTATGAGAATTTTTGAAAGTGTAAAAAGTTAGGCTTCAAGACTGTACCAGCCGCCCCGTCGTTGGCTTTCGGGTAGAGCAGACTTCAAGACATGGGATGGACTAAATAAACTCCGCAAAGCTTAGAAATCTAGATACCAACCCAGACAGGAATATATTTTCCGCTAACGCTTCCAATCGACGTCATAAACCTTGCAAGGTTTGCAATTATGCGAACTTCCTCGTTGGTCCCGAAAAGATACACAAAATAGCTTTGGCGACTCGGAACTACTCTAGCCAACTTATCGTCATATCTACATCGAAAGCTACCAAACATCATCATGTCTCACTACATCACAACCCACGACGCCTCCAGCAAAGCCGTCTTCTCACCCCTCCCACCAGCCCGCCCCTCGCCAACCCTCCCACTGGGCTCCATCCAAGTCCTCTCGTCAACACACAGCTTCCCAGTCAACCTCTCCACCGAATCAGACATCACGCAATATCAAACCGACCAAGCCCAGCCCTCATTCCCCGGGACGCGCATCATCTGCCCGGACAACGGCACCGCCACCCTGATCACCACCCTGAACCCCGGCGCCGAGAGTCCGATGCACCGGACCATGACGCTGGACGTCGTCGTCATCCTGGAGGGCGCCGTCGAGCTGCGCCTCGACTCGGGGGAGACACGGGTGCTCCGCGCCGGGGACTCGGTGGTGCAGCGGGCGACGAAGCACAAGTGGGTGAACGTGACGCCGGACGGCGGGGTGGCAAGGTGGGTTGTGTTTGTGCAGGCGGCGGCTGAGACTGTTGAGGTCGGGGGGAGGCGGCTTGGGAGTGAGTGGGAGTCGTGAGAGCTTGGGGGGATTAGTGACGGGGAAGTAGCTAATACATGTCACGAGCAAAATGAATGTTGTTGGTTGATTTCATAATTACTCGGTCTGAGTCGTTGGTGCTCTTGTTGTATCGCGGTCTGTGGGATTGTCGTCAGTGTATCCGTACTTTACGTTACATCCTCGGTGCTTGGCGGACAGGTTTCGTTCAGAACTGCCGAAGGAACACTTCAATGCCACAGCCTCTCCTACTAATGACCCTCACCAAATGCCTAAAAGTCGCATCCCTTCACCGTGGTTGAGCAGAGGCAACAATGCGGCCAGTCGGCACCGACCGGCATCCCGGGATGAAAAGTGGATCCTCGGGAAAGTAGGCATCGGTCGGGATGGCGGACTGGACTGGCCGTCCGGGGCCCGTCTCGTCTGCCGCCGCTCCGTCTGAAAAAGTTGAGATGGGACAGAGTTCCGGAAGGCATGACTTCAACATCGGCCGACCTTCCCTTCCAACACAACCGCTGGGCCAAGAAAGGGCGGCGCGTCCGTTACGCGTAAACCGCTTTGCTGCGCCCATTCCATACTCCACCCTCTGCTATCCCTTTGTGAAGACAAAAAAAATTGGCGGACAACCTGAAACTGCCAGACGCTTTTGCTGGCAATCAATCAAAACCCGCCATGGCGTTGAGGCATTGCTGTGTCTTGGCCCGAGATCGTGCCCGCAGCGCGCGATTTCAATTGAGATCGTTGGCCAGAGACTTCATCATGAGAGAACGACGTTTGCCGCTTTCCCGCTAGTCGAGATGCTGTTGGACCCCCAATGCAATGCAACCCTGCATTTGGACGACATTACCACCGGTTCGCTAAAATGGGAGAGGAATTACTCGTATTCCGGCGACCCGTCCGCACGATTCGGGAAAATACAGTGGAGTTTGTTTTGCCTTAGTCTGCCCCCGCCGGGTCTATCTTTTTTATTCATTGACAGAACATAACGGCACTGCATCCATCCTTCGACTCCTTCCTCTTCCCACCCCAAGGGGGAATGAAAGGCGCTCTCTCGGCACACTCGGGACCGTCTTAGCGGAATGGCAGGAGGATTCGTTACCCAGCGCGGCGTCCTAGGCACCCGCAAAACCATTAAAGCAAATGTCGTTCGGGAGGCAGTGCAAGGCTCGACAAGACAAGAGCGAAGGGGTTCTTCAGCTGGACAAGGTGCAGTGTAGTGCTTGCTTGATTGCTGCAGTGGCTCTCTCTGCATGTTTCCGTCTCCTCCCTTCCCCCCTTCCCCTCTATCCCCTATTATTTCCCCCCCCTCCATTCTTCTCCAAGAAACCCCCAAGAGCTCAGGAACGCCTGGAACGGGCCGTTGGCCAACTAGCGCAGCGTTCGCTCCAACACCTGAGACGTTGGCAGGATTGGCGATCGACGTTTGACTCTTTGCTCCAGCAGCCTACGCTAATTGATTGGCACATTTGACACATTGGCACATCCAAAAACCAATGGTGCTGAATCAGTGCAGAGGATTAGGCGCCCGAGTGCACGAGTTGTGCAACATTGGTTCGCTTGGCCCAATTGGCCGGATCCCCACCCCAAGCTTGCTTCGCCTCGTCGACTAATCTTATCATCACGAACTGGGAAAACATGTACGCGTTTAGCGGTAAAAAAGGGGCATGTGGCAGATCTCTTGGCAGGTACGCCTGCACATCAGTCCCCAATGAGGGTCCATAGAAGCATGGCGAGCCCCCTTTCTCGAGCAGCACGCCCAGGCCAGCCAGCATTGACGAATAGTGAGTGGATGAGTGAGAGAGAGAGAGAGAGAGAGAGTCTGTGAGTTGAGTGAGCGAACCAACCGACCCAACCCAGTCAGCCCAGCCTAGAGAGACAGAGAGCAACGCGGCTCCGCTCCTCTCTCCATCCGCTGCCGTTCGTTCTCCGTTTTCTGCGTCTTGAATCTTGATGTTTCCTGGAATTCGACTTCGATCCCAATTAGCGACGTGACGTCGCGCTCGCCTTTTGGAAGCTATTGATCGTTTGGATTTTCTACATCCGTCCACTCTTTGAGAAAGCCCTGCGTACTCGTTGTCATTGTTCTTCTTCATCATCATTCTTTTGCTTTATGCCAGCTGCTGTTTGTCTGTCTCTTTTTCATTCCCCCGGCCTGCGTCTTTATGCCATCACACTCCTTTGAACCCCCAGCCAGCAGACGATCATTCTGCGTCACGGCCTAATATCGTGAGTTGCGACTTGAAGAAAAAAAGACCCCATTGACGCCATCCACGTCCCTCAGCTAACATCCCACCAAGAGCTGCTCCGATTGAATCTCGAGATACTCGACTACTACCGACGACAACACCGACGACAGAAAACCCCCCTCCCTCGCCCGCCCCCGAGCCGCCGCCCATCATGCGATTCTCACGGTTGGCCCCGTTGCTCACCTACCTCTCCTTCGCCGCCCTCCTCCCCTCCGTCTGCGCCGACAAGATCCTCCAGTCGCTCTCCCTCAACAGCTGCCAGAAGCAGTCCGACTTCTCCGCCTCGCTCTTCAACATCATCGTCTTCGCCAACAATGGCTCCGTCACCTGCAACGTCGCCGCCGTCGTCTCCGTCGAGGGCAAGGCCGTCTTCGACGTCGCCCTGCGCGTCTACGGCTACGAGTACATCCGCAAGACCATCGACCCGTGCAGCATGGACCTCCAGGGCCTGTGTCCCATGAAGCCCGGCAAGATCAACATGGAGTTCTCCTTCGAGCTCGGCGACGCCCTCGACCAGGTCCCCAGCATCGCCTACACCATCCCCGACCTCGACGCCACCGTCCACGCCCTCATCAACCTCACAGAGACCGACACCACCGTCGCCTGCATCGAGGCCGACTTCTCCAACGGAAAGACTGTCAACCTCAACGGCGTCAAGTGGGCCACCGCCATCATCGCCGGCATCGGCCTCATCTCCGCCGGCTTCATCTCCGCAAAGGGCCACACCGACGCCGCCGCCCACCTCGCCGCCAACGCCCTGTCATTGTTCGGCTACTTCCAGGCCCAGGCCTTCCTCGGCCTCACGGGTGTCGACATGCCCCCAATCGTCCAGGGCTGGACGCAGAACTTCCAGTGGTCCATGGGCATCGTCCGCATCGGCTTCATCCAGACCCTCGCGACCTGGTACCAGCGCTCCACCGGAGGCGAGGCCGCCGACCTCCTCAGCTCTCTCAAGACCTACTCCGTCCAGGTCTCCAAGCGCTCCCTCGACGCCCTCGACAACTACGGCGGCCCGGGGCCCCTCCTCAAGCGCGGGCTCTCCAACATCGCCAAGCGCGCCAACATCAAGCTCGACAACGGCTCCTACGTCGTCTACGGCATCCAGCGCGTGGCCTTCCGCGCCAAGATCGAGACGACCAACCTCTTCCTCACGGGCCTCATCATCTACATGATCTTCGTCGGCTTCACCATCGCCTGCGTCGCCGCCTTCAAGGGCGGCGCCGAGCTCGCCGCCAAGAAGGGCTGGATGCGCGCCGACCGCTTCCTCGAGTTCCGCCGCGACTGGTCCATCACGCTCAAGGGCATCATGTTCCGCCTCAACCTCATCGGCTTCCCGCAGATCGCCGTGCTGTGCCTGTGGGAGTTCGTCCAGCGCGACTCGCCCGCCGTCGTCGTGCTCGCCGTCTTCTTCTTCTTCGGCACCCTCTTCACGCTCATCTGGGCGTCCTTCAAGGTCATCCGCATCGCGCGCCAGTCCATCCTCACGCACCAGAACCCCGCGCACGTGCTCTTCTCAAACCCCAAGATCATCAACAAGTGGGGGTTCCTGTACGTGCAGTACCGCGCGTCGGCGTACTACTTCATCATTCCGTTTATTGCGTACATCTTCATCAAGGCCGCGGTGATCGCCTTCGGCCAGGCCTCGGGCGTCGCCCAGGCCGTCGCGCTGATCATCATCGAGGCCGGCGCCCTCATCGCCGTCAGCGTGCTGAAGCCCTTCATGGACAAGAGCACCAACTCGTTCAACATCTCCATCGCCGCCATCAACTTCGTCAACTCCATCTTCATGCTCATCTTCACCAACGTGTTCGGCACCCCCGGCCTGGTGATCGGCGTCGTCGGCGTCATCCTTTTTGTCGTCAACGTCGTCTTCTCGCTCGTCCTGCTGCTCATGGTCCTCATCTCGAGCATTCTCGTCTTCTGGCGCGTCAAGGGTCAGCCGATCGTGCCGAGCCAGCTGCACGACCCGAATGTGCTCGCGAAGCGCGACGGCACCGAGAACAAGTCGCTGCTCGACCTCGACGAGGACGACAAGCAGGGCCTGTACCGCCGCGAGTCCGTCCGCTCGGTGCGGTCATTATACGGCGGCGAGAAGGCCATGGAGGACGGCAGGACGCGGGGCCCGGCGGACAGCCACGAGATGTCGTATCTCCCGTCGCCGACGACGCGGCCCGCCGTCAGCCCGGCGATGCCGCTGTTCCCGGCAGACCCGTCCCTGCGGCCACGGACGCCCACAACACCCCGCACACCGGGTGCGCAAGACCCCCCAGCAAGTCCGTTTGCGACAATGGACGAGTTTAGGCAGAAACACAACAATAGGTAAGCTTCATCTCTCTTGGGACTGATTTTAAGATGATCAGCTGACACATAATGCAGTCCATGGCAGCGCGGCGCAGGATACGATCACTAGATTCCATAAACACCATCATTTGTACTATTTATCACGCGGTTCCTAGAGTTTATACCATAAGACATAAAGAGTAATATCTCTTACACATTACACATAGTTCTTAATCGTGCCTGTGTGGGCCGTCACAGGACTTCACAGCCCGGTGGTGAACCAACTCACCGTGAGCGTGAGGCCCCGAATACACTCAACTGACCAAATATCTAGATCGATGTCTTTTCTTATACGGGCGGTGTGCTGACATTTCATCGTGATGTTTATTGACCAAGAACAGTTAACTACGAACACCGTTTACGATACCTAAAAATTTAGCAAGAAAGCAACTCGATGTCCCGTCACGTCAACTCCGCCTCGATGATGGCCTCGCCCCGATCCATCCCCGTCCAGATCTTAACCACCTTCAACCCTACCCCCTCGACAATCTCCCGCCACTCCCCATCCGTCTTCTCCGCCGCCGCCATCCCCGCCATCATGAGCATATCCAACGACGTCACCCTAGCGACCGGATTCCTCTCGTTCACCATGTTCTCATGAATCAACAACTTCGAGTACCCCCTCTCCATCGCCGCCGCCACATTCCCCAAAATCTCCTGCGCCTTCGCCACAGGCCAATCATGCAGCACACCATGCATGAAATACGCCCTCGCCCCCTTCACCGGCTGCGGCGTAAAGAAGTCATACGTCTGCACCGTAAACGCCGGGTCGGGCTTCACATCCTTCAGCATGCTGGCCAGATCCTGCAGCACCAGCGCCTCCGCGCCGACCTCGGGGTGCTTCACATGGAACTTGACCAAATCATGCCCCTTCCCGCCGCCGACGTCCACAACCACCGCCCGCCCCGGCCGCGCGCCGTCGAGCAGCGTCTGCGTGGGGAACATCTCGGGCCAGTTGGTCAGGTTGCCGCGCGAGTTGCCCTCCATCGCGTCGTTGAAGTCCTGCGCGAGGTCCGGGTGCGAGCCGATGTAGTCGAAGAACATGGCGTCCGGGCGGCCCTGCCAGTGCTGCAGGTTGGACCTTGTGTTGTCCGTCGAGTTGCGGAAGTTGGACGCCTTGAGGAAGGAGGGCAGCGAGATGAGGATGGGCGCGACGAGGCCGTGGTAGAAGCCGGCGTACCACGCGCGCAGGCCCTGGTCGGTCGCGAGGGCGGCGGCCCAGGGGGTGCGGGTGTAGGTGTCGAGGTCGGTTTCGATGACGAGGTATTGGCCTGCGACGCAGCGCATGAGGCGTCCTGGTGGGAGATGTCAGCTTTTGAAGGTTGGAGCAAAGAGGTGAACGTACGGATGAGCGTCTCATCGGCGCCTGTGAGTTTGGCGAGTTCGACGCAGGTGATCGGTCCGCCGCCGGCTTCATCCCATTTCTTAAACGCGCCGGCGTCGATGAGCGTCTTGATCGCGGCGTTGACGCCGCTGCGCGTCACGACGTGGTCCCACGCAATGTCCCACGGCGTCTGCATCCGTCTCACGGCGTGGACGAGCGCATCCCGGACGCGCACGCGGTCCGCGTTGTCCGGGAGGTCCTGGACGTGGATGTCGTTGAGGCTGGCGATGAGGTTGTCTATTTCGGCCATGGTTGCGACGTATCAGATATGGAGGGATCTAGAAGACGAGAAAGGACGTGTAACTTCACCGAATAGGTGTGAAGGGGACTGGGCCAGGCTTAAGACCTCTTGTCGGGGGCCCCGCGAAATGCGAGGTACACGGGCGCAAGGGGCCGGCGGGTTTGCGCTCGTCGTTCACCAGCTCTTGCGAGATGATAGATTGAACCTTGCAACAACAATAGATGCATCTCGACGGCGCAGCAAGTTCACGTCTTGCTCCATTGAAAATCGCACTCAGATGCCCGATCGGGGGCCGCGTGGGTCGAGAGCAAGAGCCTCGATTCGCACCGCGGGAGCAGCAAACCGCATGAACCCCTGGCCCCGAGTCCCCACGCCTGGGTATCTGCCTGCATCTCCTTTCAACGACCGTTGGAGGCTCTTGGAGTCCTGCCGTTTCGGGGAACGCTGTTTGCTTGCCACAGGACACGCTCTCGTGTGTGGTGGACCTCCCACCCCGCTTGTCAAACGATGTTTGCTTTTTAGGTCTGGTGTAAGGAGGCACATTTCGGAGGCGGAGGCAGGCTCCGATGTGTTTGCTTCTGTTGAACGGCTGGGGATCCTCGTCGTATCTAACCTCCCCGGATTTAGCGCCAACAGAGTCGACTGGAGAGCGGTGATATCAGGGGGTTTTCGACCAATTAGCATACCAAAGTGGATGCTTCCTTCGTCTGTTTGCTACCTGGACGATGCTGTTGGGACTTTGGGCAGCCTTCCTCATCATGGCAAGCAGATCGTGGACACAGCAAGCCCGTTGGAAAGGCTGATTAATAGATAACCAGCCTGTTTTAGTCGTTAGAAATACGGCCACGTGTGCAGAGGAGGACTCGTTCACAGCTGTTGTGCTCCAACGGTCTACATCCGACGGCATGCGATGCTTGGTCCTCTGGGGGAGAAGCCCACAGGTCCTACGGGCGCGATCGTGACGACGGCCAATTGGAGTTGACAAACTCACAACCCACGATTCGTGGAGTCCACATGAGGGAGACTGGCTGGGCTTGACATGCGCACTTGGCGGGGGAGATGTTGTACCCGGAACTTGGGGTTTGTGGATCTCGAGGATGTGGGAATCCGGGTACTCGAGTTTGAGTCAAGCGCGGCAAGGCCACACATCGTGTTTTCTTCCTGAATCATACTTTGCTTCATCATTTAATTTTCTGTGAAAATTGGATGCTCAATAACAGCATGAGAAACAGAGACGGGTACAAATCCCGCGGGTCGCATCGCATCTGTCAGAACTCAACGATAAGCGCCTAGGTAATACAGCCAGGCAGTTGGTCCCCATAGACCGGGATGCGACACCCCTGCCCGACCTCCCATTCTGGCTGAGGGGAGTTCTCACTTTCTTCAATCATGTCACATGCCGATCGCGACCTAAAGGAAAAGCATTGTGAGACAACAAGATCAGGACTAGGATAGTCGTGGGTCCCGGGTCAATCGTGAGTGTGATCATTCGAAATAAAACTCATGTCGTCTCGTGTCGAAACCAGTCATCCTCGGTTCGTAGTGCTTGCTGGAAGGCCTGCAAAATGTCATGGCCCCGAAAGCAGGACAGTTTGGCGACCACGGGAATAATCAAGATTGTAGATCGAGAGGCCTGGATTGCGATGAAATTTGAAGTATTTATCCTGCGCCGACTACAAGAAACCTTCAACCCAAGCGCCGGAGAACCTCCCGAGAAAGGCCCCAGATCGATGACAACTCTCCAAGTGTCTGGTTCAGATACTGCAACTCCTCCGCGATCCCAAAAGCCTTTGCCGAGCGGCACGCTTGCACCGCGCCGTACACGAACGCAAGAGGTGCGTGTTGCAGGCCGTACTGGGTCCGGTAGGTGCGCAGGAGCGACGTCACGTCGGTTGCTGAAGTGCTGCAGTACACACGCGACCTCTCCTCCGACTCGCTGCCGCGTGTTGCAATGGCCTGGTCGTAGTTTAAAGCGATGCGAGCGCTGTGGAAAAGGAGGCTGCGGTCTTTTAGTCGCCCATCTTGAAACCGATTGCGGATGGAGATACTCACTGCAGGGCAAAGACTCCAGGTATCGGCTTTGATGAAGGGCCCCATTTAAGCCACTTCGCAAAGTCGGGGAGAGATTCCCGCCAGCGGTTCAGCTCGAGGTTGAGGTTGTCGAAACATAGCCGGCGGCTGATGTCATCTAGATGTGAACGAGGGCTAAACAGGGTCGTCATCATGCGCTCGATAATCCGCGACAGACGGATCTGCTCGTGGAGGTATGGAATCATGGAAGTTGCCTTTGTTGACTGGGTGTCTTCGTCACCGAAGCCAACTGGTCGCCACAATGCCATCTCAGGCGGTTCACTGGTCAAGTCAGCATGAAGATAATTATGGGTTCAAGTGGCATACGGCAGAGTCTCCATGGGCTGCACTTCCGCTTCGTCGTAGACGAGGTACACCGGCCGACCGAGGATGAGACTGATCAGCTTGTCGGAGATGTAGCAGCCCCAGTAGATGCGTCTCCGGATCTCGACATCTTCGGGAGTAGCTAGGGAAGAGTCGTGCTGGACCCAATCCTTCGGGTCTCTCTGGAAGCCCAAGTCTTGAGCCATCCTGAAGGCAATGCCTGTTGAGTCTGGTGTTAGGTACATCTTTCATCTTCAGCTTGGGCGAGCCCAGAGCAGGCGACGGGGTGCTTTCTGTTCGATCTCACCTGAGTACCCCCATCCCTTTGACAGATTGCCCCTTCCAATTTCGTAGAAGGCCAAACAAAGAAACGCCTGAACGGTCGCGATGGATGGCCGCGTCAGACCAGTCACCATGACAATGCTCTCCGCCGCTAGAAAGAACTGATCGCTCGAATCCTTCGTATCAAGCGACACAAGAGCTCCCAGCGCGCATATAGACAGTAACAGCGCCGAAGACCAGTACTTTCCGTTCTTTCTGTCCCCAAAGTGATCCCTCAGAAAAGCCTCCCGGTAGATGAACATGAAGTGAGGGTACTGCCACCGGAAAAACTGCGTCAGCGACTTCATGACGACTTCATCCTGCATTCCGATCCCGAAATGCTCCATGACGCTCTCAAAATCCGACTCGACGCCGTCGTAGTAACCCTGACCAACGCGGTCGGTGACGTCCTTCTGCCCGTGCTCTGCCTCGGCGCGGAAGATGCTCGTCGCGCCGTGGTAGACCAGCGAACCCTCTAGCCCGAGTTCCAGGTTGGCTTGGTTACCTGCGTGGATTCCGATCTGGGCGATGTACTCTCCAGGGGCCTGCGTCTCACTTTTGGGCGACTTGTCGTCCAAGGCGGTTGACTTGAGCATCTCCTCCCGCTGTTCTGGAGACGCAGCGCGTAGGTTCTTGACGAATGATTCGAACCAGGATAGGCGGCTTTCTAGGCTAGCGACGTATTCGTGCGAGACTGGCACTCTCTTGCGGTCGACCTCGCGGTACTCGCATGCGGTCTTTGAGGTGACGCAGTTCTGGCATGGTTCTGTGCGGGAGCATTTCAACTAGGACGAGGATTCATCAGATCCATTCATGGCTGTACTGGGGAGGCAGACTACCTTTCGGTATTGGCATCGCTTACACCTGTGGTATATCAGCAAACGTTCGGGCAAAAGCTTCGGAGAATCACTTGGTTTACGAGATCCTTTTTACTGGCTTGCTCGGGGAGGGCATGATGTGAAGGGCGTAAATGAGTGACGGACATGTTCGGATGTCGTTGAAAGTTGGAGAGGCCAAGTTGCGGGGTTAGCGGTCGCGTCCCGCCTGAAGTACGGGCGTGAACAGCGCTAATGAGTAATGCCTGAACAGGGAGCCACCCAGGTCATCATCCGATCACGGTCTCAAGAATGAGCATTATCTAGCACCAACAAGTCATAGTCGAGCAGAAACTTTTCGATCTAGACCGAAGAAAAACGATTCCCCTTCCCTTTGAGCGTCAAAATATGTATGCAGCTTGAGAATTTTTGTCATCTACGCAGTTATTGAGCAACCACATACCGCGCCTACTCAGATACGACTCTGGAACCATCGTCCAGAAAGAGAGGCGATTAGATTATGAGAGAGTAAATATCGAGCTGTTGATAGTCTTACTATTCATTAATCTTCTAATTCAAGTACAAATTGCATTGATTGCGGTATGTGATGTGGAACTGGGAGACATCAGGCAATGATGGGGAACGATAACAAGAACGGTGATAGGGACGACGACGGGGAACTGCGACGGAAAACGAGAAAATGGAAGGCGATGGCGATGATGCTGTGTCAGATTTCTTGCGACACCCAACCCAAAGTCTCGACTTTTGTCCCTCTTCTGTCGGGATGAGCTCATGATAGACCGTCTGTGAAGGCGGAACTTGAAGAGATGCCCAATGCAATCCCCGCCTTGAGAACCGCTACCAGTCTGTCCACGTCACTCAGGTTATTATAGAACCCAAACGATACCCTGATTCCTGACCTAAACCTCGTCACAACCACACTGGAAGCGGTCAAATGTTCAAGCCAACGAGGATCATGAAGCTGGAGGACATGAAGATGCGGCGCATGTTGCCTCCTTTCCTTCGGCCCCAGAACGCTGATACCCAGCTCCGCGCAAGACTCTCGTAAAGCATCTCCAAGACCATAAAGATGATTCTCAACATTCTTGGGCCGCATTACCTCGAGGTAAAATTGGAGGAATGCACGAGCTGCAACAGCCGAGATGAAGCTCATATTAGCGTGCTCATATCGGCGAGCCGTCTGATGGAAGACGATCGGTCCCTCTGGAATCATGAAGTCTTCTGAGTCGCTCACGCTGGCTACCCCTCCGTAGCCAACAAGTGGAGGCGTTGGGTCAAGTTCTTCAATGACGGCTGAATCCACATAGAGGGCTGCGAAGCCTGTTGGTGTGTGAAGACCCTTGTGTAGACTGAAGGCAGCTGCTGAGACGCCCAGGGCTTGAACATCCACGTCTGCGAACCCGACTTGCTGGGTTAAGTCTGCAAGGACGTGGATTCTCTTTGGTCTGTAGACAGAGCAAACATCTGCGATGTCGTTCCATTGTCCACTATGGAACATGATTGAGCTTAAGCCAATGGCTTTGGTCCTGTCGTCGACATAGGGGGCGAAGGTTTTCGCGTTGGCGGCGACAGGTCTTTCAGGGTGCGTCGGGACAAGGCGGACCTCCAACCCGAGGGGACGAAGTGCCATCCAGCCGAATGCCTGATTCGGGTGCTCGCAGTCTAGAATGACTACGTTATCTCCAGGCTCGAACTTCAACCCGTGGATGAAGCTTCCCAGGCCCTCTGTCGTGTCGCGAGCAAAGGCTATTGATGATGGATCCGTGTTGATGTACCGAGCCAAAAGTTGACGGACGGCCTCGACGTCTTGACGCCAGCAAGCTTTGGGCGATGGATGGTGTAGAGATTCCGAGCAGAAGCGGCGGATGGCTTCGTCCACGATGAGGTTTGACGGGGGCATGAAGCCGGCGTTCAGGTGTGTTATCTTGCCATCGGATACTAGAGGAACCAGACGGCGGAGGATTTCGAAGTTCGCGTTGTGATAGCTGACTGCGGCAACTGAGGCATTCCGGATCTTGGTGGCAGTCATTGGCTCGGCATCGAACAGGTCTTGAACGCTAGAAGGAGCCATGGTTTGGAATTTTGGCTGCAGTCACAAAAAGGGGCGAAAGATGAGGAAACTAGGTCTAGATAACAACTGCAGTATTTATATCGCATTATCTTGCCGGCTCGTATGTGGAAGATGGTCGAGCGACTAACCGTGGAGTTCAATCTCCGTTGCTCGTCATCATCCCATATTGGCCGTTGACGGTCGTCTGGAAGCGATCGCTAGGACGCGTTCATAGCCATGCTACGGAGCGATATCGGAGACAAACTAGAGGCGACTCCTCTGACGCATCGGAAAATGAAGCATATGATCAAAGTTGAGGGAAGCAAGTTGTTGGCGATGCCCGGTGAGGACCGGGGCGGGATCCATGATGGAGTTGCAATTCCGTCCACTCAGAATGCGTAATGAAGATCCACCCTTTCCATTTTCGGCTGCTATTGAAGCGACGGACATCCAACTCCATTGTGGGTATCGGAGGTTCCGTCCCTTGAAGCCGCTGTCGACTTTGACTTAGGTAGCCAAACCATGGAAATAAAAAGTCAAAAACTGAGAGAGACGTCAAAAAGTTGGCATGAATCGAACTTCTATGATGACGAGCAGCAATCTTTGAGAAGCAGTGTCCGAAGTGGAAGACCTCGGCCGAATGAGTTTCAGCGAACCTGAGCAACATGATCTCGAGGATTGAAGCGGGAGAAAACATCGAGGCACGTGTCTATTATTTCCACGCTCATTCTGGCTGGAATTAGCTGTCCTCTTGAAGTCTCAGATTATAATGGAAGGGAACAAGTGACTATGGCCATTGGACAACGAGGCTTGCAGACAGCTAAGCTAGTATTTGTGGTGTCGAGACCGTGAGGAAGGAGGAACATGAGGAGGCTTCAGGAAATCAGGGATACCTTACCACACTCTATCATCAACAAAGGCCAGAAGGATGAGAGCAACAACATACAGAAAGACCGAGCGAGGGGGTATGATTGTTTGCCAAACTACGAGGGACCCGAAACCACAAATCCCGTCGTCATCGGGTTTACCGGGAGGCTGCCGTTCCCGCCCACCGCCAACCACAAATTTATTGCATGGGGACTACACGCGGTGGCTTCGCATGTTTCCGACTACACAGACGGAGTGTGGGAATTTCATCAAAGGATAAGTGATCACCAGTGGCCTAATCCGAGGCTTGAACGTAAGTCATGTCAGGCGGAGTGTGATATGCGGACCTCACTAGGATTAGGCATGTCATGGTCATGATAGGGTCACACATGTCACGGTAACCATGGACTCAAAAGTCAGAGTTGGGTATCGCAATGTGAGACGGTGATGTATTAGGGAAAAAAGCCCATGATGTGGATCAAAGAATATTGCTGAAGGGAGAACAAAACAAAACAAAAGAAAGTCAACATTGAGTACAGTGAGTGAGTAAAGACAGCGCTGTAGAAATCGCCGAACAGAATCCGCAAACGCTGTTCATCCGAATCGTCAATCTCACGCCAGTTCATCTCAGACCCTTAGTGCTTCCCGTGTCGTCGTTGTCATTGTAGTTGTCGTCGCCGTACTCCATGGTCATCCCTAGTTGTCTCCATTGCGTTGCATTGTCCTATGTTATCGTCTGCTGTGTGTTTTACCCCTGTCATCCATGCTGTCACTATTTGCCTGAATGGCTTCAAGAATACCTAGCTGGATTGTTAACTCTTCCGGAGACATAAAACCTCAAATCGACTGGGCTAGCCCCTTTGAGTTCATAGCCAACTGAATCAACGACTATATCTGTTTGCCATGGATATCAAGTACAGGGCATACATCATATGCTTTCTCTACAGCAGATCAACTCGCAAGCATCCTGCAGCTGACTTCCAGTGTCTTTTCTTTGTGTGAACCTAACATCGGTTCAAGTTGGTCAGATAGCTATGCCAGCTTTTGACGGTGGGTTTAAAGGGGGTCAAGCATGTTAGTCTGAGCATAGCTGTTGAAAAGTCGTTCTTGTTTCAGGTTTCAATCACGCCTTTGTTCGTAGGTTACTTGAGACCTGCGAGATCAGAGTCCGGTCTGCGTGGGGTGTGAACAGTTCTGCAGCAAAGCGTTCATCATTTGGCCCCGAAGTACGGAGTAATCAGTGATTCGTCTATAGGTATGCCGGCATTAATACAGAGAAGATAATGTGGGAGTCAGTATGGACGGATGTAGCGTGATGTTCATAACACGCGGTTGTCGTTGCTCGTTTCGTTCTGTTCGCTTCATGTTGGTTATTGCACTTGCGACCGGAGGCTATGGATAAGGCAATTAACGGTAGAGGTTCGCGATTGCAGGGAACAGGGAGACACAATTGAAGACATTGGGCACAGCATCCTGACAGATGGATCAAATTTATTTCTTGTTCATTACACTGGAGTACTTCTGTTCCTTCGCACTTTAAACACGGCACATCCTGCCATCGTTGGCAACGCTCCACGACTCGCTACCAACAGCGTTGCGAGCATAGAAGAATCCTTCGGGATCCCACTTCTTCTTCAGGCACGCCAGGGAGTTGTAGTTGCTGCCGAAGAACTCCTTCTGGAAGTTGGGCTGCTGGAAATCAGCCTCGTTCATGTACGCGCCACCAGCAGGGGTGAGAGCCTCGATCTCAGGCATGATGACGTCGGTCATCAGAGTCTGCTTGGCGAGCATCTCGTCCCAGGGGGCGGTGAAGTTCCAGACGGTGGTGAGCGTGGCGTGGACGAGGGTGTTACGCCAGGCGGGGGTGACGGAGTTGGTGTCCTTGTTGCCGAACTTGCTCACGTCGGTGCCGACGCCGATGAAGGTGGCGCCCTTGGCGGCGACGCTGCGGGAGAAGGAGCCGATGTTGGTGATGTTGTCGCGGGGGATGAGGCGGCCGCCATACTGGGCGATGCCGACCTGGATGTTGCCGATGGGCAGGGGGCCGAAGTACTTGTCGTAGTGGCCGTAGTAGCTGTCGTACTCGGAGTAGTTGACGGTGTAGGTGATGCCGAGGGCGTCGAGGCGGGCGACGAAGGGGGCCATGATGGTCTTGACCTCGTCGGAGGTCTTGTTGAAGGCGTTCAGGGGCGCGATCTGGAAGAAGGTGGCGCCGAAGTAGTAGACGACCATGGTCTCGTTGTCGACCATGCCGGCGAGCTCCTCGTGGAAGGCATCAATGGAGTTGAAGAAGGCGTCGTTGTCGTTGTCGGCGGCCATGATGACGAGGGTGGCACCTCCAACCTTGGCGTCAGCGTGAGCCTTGACGGTCATGGAGGTGACAACACCCCAGTTACCGGGGCCACCGCCAGACAGAGCCCAGAAGAGGTCGGCGTTCTCGGTCTTAGAGGCAGTCAGAAGGGTGCCGTTGGCGATAACGACCTCCCACTCGAGGACGTTATCAGCGCTCAGGCCGAAGGAGGTCGAGAGGGCAGAGTGACCACCGCCCTGTGTGTAGCCACCGGCAATACCGACAGTAGGGCACTCGCCGCCGACGACGGCAAGACCGGCGTTGTGAGCAACCTCCATAACCTCGAAGCCCTGGGTGCCAGCGCCGATCTTGGCAGCCTTACCAGTGTAGGCAGCGGTAGCCCAGTCAACGATGTCGACGCTGTTCATGTGGTGAGTCCACACAGACAGAGCACCGGCACCGGTGGAGCGACCAAGGTAGTCATGGCCAGTGTTGCGGACAACGAAGCGGATGTTGTGCTCCTGAGAGAAGGAGATGGCGGCCTGGATGTGCTCGGCGGTGGTGGCGTTCACGGCGTAAACGACGTAGTTGCCCAGCAGGCAGGGACGCGACTCCGGCTGGAAGGGGTCGCAGCTCTGGTTGGCGAAGAAGGGAGCCATGATGGAAGACGAGGACTCCATGCTACATGACTGTTAGTGGCTATCATTAAACATCGGTCAAGGGCAGTGACATACTGGATCTCAGAGTCCTGCCACTCGCTCTGCAGCGTAGCGCAAGTGGCAGCATCGTAGGTAGGGTCATGGCAAGGCGAGCCCAGAGGAACAGTGGCAATCAGTCTGCCGCCAACAGTGGTGTTGAGGGCATTCCAAGTCTCGGTAGACGGCCAGCAGCTGTCACCGGGGAAGCACTTGCAGTCCGTGGCACGCTCGGCGAAGGGAGCAAAGCCGGAGCCGGGACGGTTGGGGGCCGCGAAAGCGGCGCCGAAGAGGGCCGCTTGGAGGACAAAGCTCTTCATGTTGACTTTTCGGCCGTGAGGTGGGAAGGTGGGAGGAGGGAAACGAGAGGACAACGCGCGACGAGTGACAAAGAGGCACAAGATCGGCACGTTTGACGGCTAGGGAGAGTAAAAGAGAGTGTATTGCCGCTGGATCCCTTCATCAAAAGAGAGTTTTTTTTCTGCTCGCCGGCGGCCAAGGGCGGCCATTTTAGTACGATGCGAGTCTGCAGACTGCGTTTACCCGGCCTCCGGGACTACGGCATGTAGGTTCCATCGCTCATATCCTAGTGAAGTCGTTTCCCGACTGGGATGGCTGACCCGAGATTGGGAGCCTATAAGACGACTTCGCCTCCTCGAACTAGTGGAAGTTTGCCGCGTACGGCCTTACTTGGTGCTGATGAATCCATACTGCTCGCAAGGTCGCCACAATAGAGAGGGATCGAAAGCCCAGGATCGATGCCAATGCTGTGCCGTTTGTGGCTGGTCTCCTTGGCCCCCTTGCCTGGACTTGTCCCTGGGTAGGCTAAGCGTTGGGGGCGGTGGATCAGGAACGAGGACAATACCGACCTAGATATCGACCGGAAATCAAGGGGGGACGGTGAATGCTGGATGCCTCGGTGGACATTTCTTTAAACCCAGTCTCCGCTGCTCGTTCTTTGTCGCGTCGGGCGGCGTTGTTGAGCTCCGACTTCCGCCATATCAAGGCACTGGAGCCTCGGACCATGGGAATCCCGTCCTCATGGTATGATGGTGGATTTTGGGCCTGGTCTGGCTGACCTTGGTGAAGCTCCACGCCGCGGGCTTGCGTCGAGCAAGAGTCTTGTTGAGCGGGACCTCGAGCCGCTGCAGATCAAAGGAGTCAGGTGCCCCGGCAGATAAAGCTTGGTCCTCTCGCTTCCGTCCCAAATGCTGCAGAACTCGCAGGCGTCCTTGCAGACTCCCGCTCGCTACCAGCGCGAGGCATCGTCCACACACACTCTCTCTTGGTGGTTTTCGATCGACAACATCTTGCGTCTTTCGTTGGTGCGGATAGAGACTGCCCGCATACAAGAAGATCCGGAGTTTGCCTCGGCGAATTTGAGGTCTCTAGCGTGTTATCGTCGGGCGCGACCTCGGTCGGAAATTGAAGCTGCGGGGATGTGTTGAGTCGAAGTCTAATCGAACCCACGCCGGCAGTGGGGATTCTGCGAGCCACATCCCGGTCGTTTAGAAGGGGATCACTAAGAAGCCCCTCATCTTTTCTCAGGGGAATAGCAGGGGCCTCGCGGTGGTCTAACCTGAAATTCGTCATCAGCCGTGCAACACAAAGTCCTTTCCAAGATTCGGTTCAAGCCGCATCGTACGAGGCGCCACATCTCGAGAGCGGGGGGCAGCATCGCGGATGGCGACCGTTACGCATGGCTCATGGATGATGGGAGAGCCGGCTATACCTTGGTAAAAACCCTCGATCGGAGCCGATACATCTGGTCAATCTTTGACTAACTGCGACATGTTTGCGACTCCAGTTCCTGGCTTTGGGTGACATAGTTCGCTGGTAGTCCAGATTCCCAACGGATGCTTTCTTTTGGTCTGACGAATGAGGCAGCGAGCCATGTCAATCGAAACATTCGTCCAAACTCGAGTTGTTCGAGGATTTGCGTTTTCGTGGAGTAAACAGACGGGCTTGATGCTGCCTTTAATCTGGTATTTGCGCTGGAGTAACCCGTCTACGATCATCCATGGTTGAGATGGACGACAAGAGATGACAGGAGTTGTGCAAGTGAGAGTTTATGCACAGACAGAGGCAACGGCCGCCACACCGTTGGTAAAGTCAGATTGACAACAACAGCACAGACTCTCGTCCCGTCCCGATCTTTCGGTCCACCCCGTGTTGTGTGGCTGACCACCACCATACCATCTGACCGTCAGCATTCGGATCCGAAAGCGAAGCAAAATCCGCAAAAGACCACGATGATTTCCCTAAGAATGGAGCATACGACCGCAAATCTCCCAACGTCAAAGCGCTCGCAAAAAATCGAGGCCATGGACGGCTCTCACGGGATGCTTCCATCCCCTGATATCGCAGCCCACGTCTAAAAGCTAATTTCTTGGCTCCGCTGGACCCCGAAGTTGGGGGTTGCTCCGTGAGAGCCTGGGGGGACTGGGCTGACTGCAAGTCCTTCACCTGCAAATTGCATCCTTCACCCTGTATGCTCACCTGAAAAGCGGAATTCCGGAGAACTTCTGGAACTTCTTTTTCCTGTGTGGACCGGCAGCAGGGGCTGCCCCAAGGGCTCAGGCCAAGTCGGCACTCCAGGTCCCACGTGGTGGCACAGCAACTTCTTCAGCCAGGCGAACTTTTGTGTTTTGGAACCTGATGTTTGATGAAGAAAAGCAAATTCTCTGGAACCCATGAGACTTATCCAACGCCAACTAACGCGCCGTTGAAACGTTGCGACCAAAATTTCCCTCAAGGAAGAGCCTTTTTACTGAGACAACCTGCTTTTATAGGGATGGCTGGTCGATACCGGAGCAGACGAACTTTACCACACATGGACAATTGCCCGAACCGGCGTGTCTCGGACAGGGATATCCTCGTATGTCACAATTGAGTTGTCATCGCGACACAGACCAACTCGGGCTACCTCGGGTGCGCTTCGATCCACTATGCAAGCTACACGCTGAAGACTTGGAGGCTAGACCTGAGTGAAGTTAGCCCGCCAAGTTGTCAAAATTCCCGGCTGTCACCTCTGAACCTGTGCGCACTTCTTCAACACGCCATTCTAGCCCCCAATGTGATATATCACTCCCGTGTCGTAAAAGAGTCCAGGAGACTGGGAAGGACCTGTCGCCCGAGTCTGGCTTAGACTGAGGCTCTTTGTCCCTTCATCTTGGTCATGTGGCAACTGCAACTTCGTCTGTTCGGAAGGACTCCGTGGTTGGGACTCAGATGCCAACGCCATCCGTAGGTGGCTTTGCCAACATCCGCCAGCAGCCAGTCACAGCTTTCTCTGTCAGAAACGGCGTTCCCACAAAGCTCCCGAGTGGGAGAAATCAAGTTTCCCATCACCACCATCCCTGGACCTGCGCTAATTAGTGCCGCGTACAATGTAATGTACTGCATAGTGCATCTCAGGGGACCTGCAACGGTGCATGGTTCCGGCGTGCCGCGGCCAGCTTTGCTTCTAGAATCCTAGAATTCCTCGTCCAGGCGAAGCTTCAAGTGACTGGTCACAACTCGATGTGTTTTGCAAGATGCAAGCCGGGGCCGGCTCGTCGCCAGGACGTGCTCCTGAAATGCAACGTCGGCACGGTCTCCGGCGGGGGGCGAAGAGCAAAGGGTCTGCTCTCTTGGCCCTTTAGCCCTCGTACCCCGTATTCCGTCCTCGTGGTTCTTGCCCAAGATGCTTACAAACGCGAGCCGAAGGGCATAGTACGAGGGTTGAGTGGAGGGATGGACGGACGTCCTACCTTGTTGATGATCCGAGGGATGAAGCCGAGAAAGATGGCGCAGCCCACATCTCATACATTCGGGCTAGATACCACACAGAGTTCGCACCTGCAGCCGGCTTGGCCGTTACTGCAAGTGTGATATCTTGCCTGTCCTCCGACAGGGGACACCCTTTCTCGTCCAAACGGTCGGGACTGGAGCCCATTCCAAGACGTCGGAACCGACGAGGAAAGAGAGTTGCTCGGGGGGAAGGTAGGCCATGCTAAACTTTGAAAGAATATTAGTCTTCTTATCTCCCACGCCCTCCACTTCTCCTTCTTGGCGCGTCTAATGAAGAACTGGCAAGAACGAACGCAAATCCTCGTCTGATGAAGTTATGAACGAAGGCCTGCCCAAATAAAGCGGTCTAAAGCCAACCCGGGCTCCGCCACTCCCGTCCACGTCCACTTTCTGCGCCTGGACTCCTTCTTCCCTACCCGGGGCTACGCGTCGGTTCGATCGGCTAGCAGTGGCTGCTTCCCACTTCCCGTCCCCTCAACCTCCTCTTGAGATAGTCAGCACGCCAGATATTCAGCCTTACCCGCTGGCTATAGCTCACCGCAACAACGAGTTGCCCTCAAGGATTCCCAAAGGAGGGTATTTCGAGAGTCGATCATAGCCATGAGTTCACCGCCATGGACATACAACACCCCGCCGGGGACGGATACTGATGGACCCAAGATTGCGACTATTGCAATTGTGTTCACGGCCTTGTCGTTGGTCATTATGGCCTTGCGGCTGTATGTCCGCATGGTGATGCTGAAGGCAACTGGGTCCGGTAAGTGCAAACGACTCGACTACTGAGAGAGAAGTGTGCTGACGATGATTGATGCAGATGACTGGGTCATCGTTGTTACCTGGGTAAGATTAAGTCTACGAAGTAAGAAGTGGCTTGAACTAATAATGACGCTTTAGTTTTGCGCCGCTGGCTTTGCCGTCGTGAGCATCATGCGTAAGCTGATTCTCCTTGAACGAGAGATCCAATAAATTCTGACACTTTGACGCAGAAACAAAATGGGGCCTTGGCCTGAAGAAGTTGACCGACATGCCGGAAGAGAATCTCTATGAGTTCGGCCTTCTGCAATACGCCGGTGCTCCATTGTAAGTTCTCCTTCGTCACCGCGAAGCACTCCTTTCTGACAATAAACAGCTACATCTCGAGCATTCTTGGATTCAAGCTCAGCTTGCTTCTATCATATCTGCGTTTTATCCCCAAGGGAATCTACAGATGGAGCACATTTGCGACCATCGGTCTCTGCATTGCCTACCATATTGCTTTCTTGGTTGTTCAGATCAACCTGTGCACACCGGTATGATGCGCTGAAGTCTTCCGTTCATTCCAATGCTAACAGCCTATAGATTGCTAAGCAGTGGGATCCAACAATTACCAACGGCTCTTGTATCCCCGGTGTCCCCTTCTACACCAGCATGGCTGCCCTGACAATTGTCTTTGATATCGTCGTGTGAGTCTTGCTAATTCTAACTTCGGTTTCTTCTCAGCAGCTGACAGATATCCAACAGCATGTTCCTACCATTCCCCGTTCTCGCAACCTCGAAGATCCAAAAGCGCAAGAAGTTCGTACTGCTCGGCCTCTTCGGCCTCGGCGCCTTCATCACCGTCATCCAAATCATCCGCATCCAGACCGTCCATTCTCTCGCCAACTACCTCGACTCTGCCCCCCTTATCATGTGGTCCACCGTCGAGAACAACTTGGGAATAATCGTCACCTGCGTGCCCACCCTCGCGCCGCTGGTCAAGTACTTCAACGAGAAGAGCAGGTCAGGGAGCAGGAGTAACAAGTACGGAGGCGCAAGCGGCTACGGACGCAGCGCCGCGACTGGCAACGGCAACGTGGGAAGCAGATACGCGCTGCAGAGCTGGAGGCCGGGGATGAGCGGCATGCAGCCCCTGAGCAGCGGCATCGACCGCAACGAGACGGAGGTCGGCATCGAGGGCGGCTCAAGAAGGGGGAAGAGCTCCGATGATGGGAGCACGGATTATCACTTGGATGCCCCGGTTATCGTCAAGAAGACGGAGTTCGTGGTGACGAGCAATCCGAGGGAACCTGAGCAGGTTTGAAGGAGAGAGGATGATAGTTGGAACTTGATCGCAACATGACATGACTACCTACTTTAATGAATGAATCTACTCCGTACGGACACGAGCAGCGCAGGCCGCAGTGTACCGCTTGTTTTAAAAACGGTTTCGCGGTCTTGTAGACACTGCCTGTTGCCTATGTGAATGCATTTGGCAGAGATTCCAGAGTTTTACGAGTCTAAAGATATCGAACAGTGAACAGATACGTAGTACTCAGGCATCTCCAAGACAAGGACAATAGACAGGTCAAGGAACAAGGGTAGTGCTGAACAGAAGAGACAAAGAAACATCTGGAAGAAGGACAAAGATCATAGAGCCACGAAGAAACACTTGTGACAGCGAGGCCGGACGAGGGCGCTTGGGACGCCAGAGAGCAGAAATGATGGGCTCCGATTGCTAACTACCGCTGGAAGAGACGATTCAAGCTGCTTTTTGTATTATTCAGTCTCTCCTTCCTTCCAAATGGATGCCCGTGTGCTTCGTTGCAATTGTTCGCTCGAGAAATACAGATGCCTTTAGCCAGTCTTGCGACCACCCTTAGCACGGACAGGCGCCTTGGTGCTAGGGCTGATGTGCTCCTCCTTGGTGACCACATCGTCGCCATCCTCGTCTTCGTCGTCCTCCTCGATTGACTGCATGACCTGTCGTCCCTGAGTGCTCTTCTGGGGCTTCTGGACGCGGCCCCCACGGACGGTTCGGAGGCTGTCACCGCCCATGAGCGCCTTCATCTCCTGGATCTTCTTGCGCATCTCGCGACTCTTGTTCTTGTCTCCCATGGCCTCGGCAATGGCCTCAAGGTCAGAGATGCTATCGGTGGCACTGGCAGCAGAGCTGGTAGGGGCGGCGGTAGGAGGGACCGCGGTGGCGCTAGGGGCCAGGCCTTGCAAGGTGTTAGTGGCCTGAGGAATGTAGGCCGGGGCCGAGCCACGGTATTCTTCATCCTCGTAGAGATCGTGACGGGCGTGCATGTTGTTGCCGAAGTTGAGCATGTCGGAGTTCTGCTTGATGACGAGGTGACGGAAGATCTCGGTGGGGTATCTGCCTCCGTTGATGGCGACAACAGTGAGGACGTCGCGCTGGGTGAGGGCGGTGTCGGACAGAAGCTTGTGGTAGACCTTCTTGTAGAGAACGTGGTCTTTGATGTTCTCGCGCCAGAAGCTGGTCTCAATGTCCTCGAGGATGATCTCCAGGAGCTGGGAGTCGACCTTGTTGATCATGGTGCGGATGAAGTCCTTCGACTCCTTCAGCTGGTCCTGGAACCAGTCGTGGTTGGCCTTGAGGATGGCCTCCTTGACCCAGGAGATCGTGTGGCAACGGACGAAGAGATCCTTAAGCACCTTGTTGTACTGTCCGTTGTACTGAACAGGAAGAATGGCCTCGAGGGCCAGGAAGTCGACAAGGTCGGGGCGGCGCTCGCGCTCGGGGAGGTTCTGGTCCTTGAGCGAGTTGCAGATGGACTGGTAGATCGTGTTGTCAGAGATGCAACGACGGAAGGCGTTCGCGTCCACACGTGACTGGACGCGGCCGAGAAGGGCGGGGGTGAATGTCACCTCCTCACGGATCTTCTCCTTAGCCCGCTCGGCGCGGCGGGCGCGCTCCACCGGCGTGATGACCGCCGTTCCTCTATCGCGTCGGCCAGACATGACGGTATGTAGTGGAGGTGTCGTTGTTGTGTGATGTGTATGTATGTATGGTTGAAGGGGGGTGAGGCCCAGTGACTTGTGGTGTTGTTGTTGTGTGGCTGTGATGTGTTGAGGGAGAGGTTTATGGAGGGCTATCGGCGTCCGGTGGTGCCCTTTTATAGTTCAGAATCAGCTGATGCTCAAGGAAAGAGACGAAAAGGAAGGAGCTACCCACCCAGTTACGGTTGTGAGGCGAAGAAAGAAGTTGTCGTATGGTTGTATGGTTGTTGTGTAGTTGTGATGTGCTGAGGGAGAGGTTTGTGGAGGTCTATCAGCGTCTGGTGGTGTCCTTTTATAGTTCAGAATCAGCTGGTATTCAAGGAAAAGATGAAAATGGAAGAAGCTATCCACTCAGTTACGGTATTGCGAGGTGAAGAGAGAAGTTGATGTATGTTGTTGTGTCGTTAGAAAGATGTTGTGATGTGTTAAGGGGGAGGTTTGTGGAGGGGTGTCGGCGTCCGGTGGTGTGCGGGCTCCTATAGTTCAGAATCAGCTGATGTAGAAGGAAGAAGAGTAACAAAAAGGAGCTGCCCACCTAGTTGCGTTGCTGCGACACGAAAGGGGGTCTGTTCAGCGAAACAAGCTGGTGATAGTTGCAACTTGGTGTTGATGTTGGTGTCAAGATTGATTATGATGAAATCCCACGCGTGGAGATGAGGAGTGATTGGCAGACGCGCTGTTGCTTGAGCGATAACTAGGATGTGCTGACCAAGCTGGGAAGACAAAGGTGAAAGGGACGAGAAGGAAAAAGGTGGTGAGCAACGCGTCAAGGTGAATCAAATTGAGCAGCAGAGGAAGGAACACCGGTCACCGGTGACGGACGATGGTGACGGGCGACAGCGACTGACAACGACAACGGACGACGGCGACGGACGACGGTAAGAATGATGAAGGCGGCGACGATGGCAGAAATGACGACGCCGAAGGATGGATATGAAGATGATGAGGTGTGGAAGTTGGTTTCCGTTGGAGACGAGGGAGTGAAGAGGCCCTTTTGTAGCCCAGCTGAGTGAGACTTTGATGGAGGAAGTCACACCGGTGGACTGCTCTTGCCGTGATTCAGTTGTAGCGGAGGTCCAATGTATTCCTTGAGTATTCGAACTGCCAAGTGCATGAGACCATGATTGAAGACATCCACCACTAGGTGCTAGGTAGGTAGAGGAGACGGCCAGCACAAGAAGAATTTGCAAGGCTGAGTGTTGCGAAAATTAGGAACTCCACCAAACTTGTTCCAAGCAGTGCCAGACAAAAACTATTTGTCCAGCTGTAAACAGTCAGCGATAATGAAATCGTGGAAGAAATGGAGCATCTGTGATCAAAAAGACCTCCAGCTAATCAACGAAATGAAATCGATTCCCGTCAAGCAAGTTTTTTGATTACAAGTATCTTCAAATTGTTATGATCCGTGGTAAACCACAACCCTAAAGCCAATGCGTTGAGGTGTACTCATTTAGTCGTCAGATCATCATCTCATCAGTCTGGGCCAATGAACAAAGAGTAAAAGCCGCCCACTGTTCCAAGGCGTTGTTGTCCTCAAGACATAAAACCAAAACAAGCCAAACATCGAAGCCAAACATTCCAGATGATCAGCATAAATGCACAACAATACAGTACAACTCAAGTCGCCATTGGTTGGATACCCAGAACCTTCATTCCGTTTTCCAACACCTGCTTCGCATTCTCATACAACACGGCCCTCGCAAGGTCCACTTCCGGACCCTCAGGCGTCTCTTCATCTTCGTCGACATCAAGACACTCGATGAGCTGCTCTACCATACGGTACAAGAACGAGAGGACGGCGGAAGGTTCGACCGATTTGTAAGCAGCGTTGATGACGTCGGGATACTGCGCCATGAGTCGGAGAAGATTTGTGTACTCTTCCTCTTGAAGATGTGTGTAGTCAACGTCGGCCAGGGCCGTGGGATCGGCTTCAAGCTGCCCCAAAGCCAACTTGAGTCTGGTATATGCGAACTGAAGTGCAGCACCAGTGTCTCCTTCGAACTCAGTCATCTTCTTGCTATCGAATGCGTAGCCGTTGCCGCGCTTGGTGTGCATGTCTTGCGCGATCAAAGAGGTGATACCGAAAGGCTCAGCAGCGGCAGCTGGAGCACCATCTTCTTGCTCCTCCATGGCTGTCTTCACTGCAGCAGCACATTGATCAATCATGTCGCCAAAGAGATGCGCGTTGCCGAGCTGCGCCGAGAGACCCTGTACCTTGCCGAAGCCGACGTGCTGGAGCTTCTTGGCAAGGTCAACGTGACCCATGAGCTCGATGGCCTTTGCGACGCGAGCGAAGTGGGCATCTTGGTCGGACGTGACGACGTAGATCAGCTTGTCGAAGGAGTGCTTCTTGTCGAGGTCGATGACGTTGGCGATGTCGCGGAGGAGATACATAGTGGTGCCGGTACGGTTGCGCAATACTGCGGTGCTCAGTCCTTTGGAGCCGTGCTTCTTGAAGTCGATGACCCAGGAACCCTCGCTCTCCTCGAGGACACCCTTGTCCTTGAGGACAGCCTCGACCTCGGCGATGGACTCGGACGTGACCTGTGACTCGCCATTGTACTCATCGAACTTGATACCGAGACGCGCGTAGGCTTTGGTGTAGTCCTCGACATAGACGTCACGGAACTTCTTCCATAAAGCCATCGCGTCGGCGTCGCCATCCTCCAACCGCTTGAAGAAGGCATCGCGCTCAGCGTAGATACCTTGCGACTCGATTTCGGCAGTGCTCTTGTTGTCGGCTTTGGCCTTGTGACTGGCCTCGAGCTCAGGCTTGAAGGCTTCCACAATCTTGTTGTAGACGTCGAGAAGGTGGCGGATGGCATCCTTCTCAAACTCCTCATCAGAGCCGAACTTCTCCCAGCCGACGGCAAGAAGGGCGACTTGCTTGCCCCAGTCGCCCAGGTAGTTCATGCGGACGACATCCCATCCCATACGCTCATACAGGTTGGCGATGGCTGCGCCGTTGATGGTACTGCGCAGATGCCTACCCTCAAACTCGCTGGCGATATTGGGAGAGGAGAACTCGACGATGGCCTTCAGCTTTCCAGAGTCAGGAGCGGGTCGAAGGCCGAATGACTCATCGCCGCCGTATAGCTCCTTTCGGTCCGCGATGAAGGGAAGGAGGAGTCTGGGGAGCGTGAAGGGGGAGGAGAAGATTCGGATGTGGATGCCGTCAACAAATGGGAAGGTGTACAGGGGAGACTTGGGGAACTGTACAATCTAGTTAGCCTGGTCCAGTTCAACAATGCGAGAAGTACTACTTACCTTTGCCAGAAGCTCTGCCGCAACCTCTGCATTTGCTTTGATCTTGAGGCGAGGCAAGATGACTGCCAAGTCGCCCATGGAAATTGCTGCAGTAGTCTGAATCGCCTCGTAGGCAAGGGTCGGATCACATCCCGTGACCTCGGCAACAATTTTCGCAATATAAGAACGAAAGATATCAAGAGGACGTACTAGTACGTCAGCAGGGGGAAAAGAGGGAAGAGGAGTGTCGAGGCTCAGCCTCTCGAGAGAAGAGTGAAGACCGTTGATGGAAAGAGTCGCCATGGTGTGTGATAGTGATTGCTTCCTACATTCCCTTCTGCACAGCCTGGTTTGGTGCGTGAGATGAAAAAGAGAAAGAACATTGTCACAATTGACATGGGAATTTGAAAGTCCTTCTTGAAGGGAGGCTGAGAGTCACTAATCATCTGGGTGTGGTCGGGCATGAAGCAGTGTACTTTTCAGTTGACGCGGCATGATGAGATTGGACATACTTGCATCAATGTGAGCTGGGCCGCTTGGTTGGGTTCGGGCTATGCCTATGTTCGTCTTGGGGATTGATTCTGTTGGAGAGGGGAAACAACCCGCTCATGCTGATAGGCTGCCCTGCTTTCGTCCCGGAATCCGGGTGCATATCTTCAACGCTGTCTCATTCGGCCGTAGCCGAAGTACTGACTTCACCAAAGATAAGCTTGTCCCGAAAGTGACACCAGCGTTTGTGAAGACGTAAGCCACCGATGTACCGTCTGCCCAACACGTGGTAGCCCAACGCGACGGAAATGCCCCAGGTTGAGGAATGATGTCACCTTGTAGAATTCTAGAAGAGAAAGCTCTGGACCTTTTTCGCTTAAATCTGCATGGCGTGACCGATGAAGAAGCAATCATGCTTCGAGACTGTTCTTGGTCTGGCGTGCACCTACGTCTGGTAATCATTGAGAAAGGCATTTTGTCTGAGCAAAGAAACCCCATGCCCCCAATCAATTTGACGAAAAGCATAGAAAGGTCCACACCGCTGACACCGTGTCGATGCTGCATCGCATGCATAGAGCAGTGGGCAATTCGAAAGCATTCATGGAAGCAGGGACTGTAGGGGCGAAGGTTGTGAACGAAAAATGCTTTTGAGATTTAATCGCAGAATTTACGGCCCGCATTCAATCAAATGTAGCCCTTAACCTCGCAAGGCTTCAAGTTGCCGATGGGTTTGAGGATATATCGCAGGGCCAGGACTTGCAGATTGTCTTTCCCGTTTCTCACTGTTCACACATTTGCCCCTGAAGACATCTTGCCCAGTGTTGTCAGACTAGCTGACCTCATTAAAGTATTGGATACTGATGAAAAGCGTGTATTCCCATCGGAAAGGAAGTCTATGGGCCCGCCGGAGATCAAACGACCACCAACTGTTGTGAAGGATTGTAAATCCGGTGTACTTAACCACAAACCATCGAGAGAGCACTTCGATTTTTGGAACGGCCAAACTCAGTGGTACGAGAGTGAAGAGAAGATGCAACCGGAAAATCTGCTAAGCTCTTAGAGTTTTGGGCCTCAGCTGATGAGGGAGAAATGCTGAAGCTGGAATCGTTGCTGGATTTTGAGGAAGACTCGGCTTCAACTTCCATGGTCACCTCCGGGGTCATCAAATCATGAAGCGATAGAATTGATTTCTCAAGTAAACTCTTCTTGACCATGTCTTTGTATTTTTGTGTCAGATATGGTAGATTTTCAACTAACTAGTACTCAGTGCCCATCATCGAAGACTTGACGAATCTGAGTCAAGTGCGTCCTTTCTCGAACCAGTTCTTTTCCGGGGCTATGTAACTTCATTTGGACCAGTCATGACCAGTGCAACGCAACTTATCTAGGCCGCATAGCTATATGCCATGGCTCTCGTCCACGGCGTGAACGGAGGACTTAAAAAGCCTCGAGTAGGCCACGGCAGGCAAGAGTTGATAAGGTTCTTTTCTTCGACGTCTTAGGCCGATTGCTTCTCATTATTTAGGTATTAGAGTAGACAAATGCGGCGCGAGAGAGGGAAGCTCATCTTCTCGGGCAGTTCGACTAGTTTAGTGCCTAGGTCCAAGGCTCTAAGGTCAGTTTGGATGACATTGCCGAGTAAACATACGGAGAGATTGTACGACTGGCCCATCGAATACAGATAAATTCGCTGATGAAACCCACGCGATGTGCGTATCCAGGGCAGCTCGACGCAGAGGACGCAAAGCTCAGACCATGATGCTTCCTGGGACCGACCCTGGAAGTCAATTTCAGTCTAATTAGGTAGAGGTTATTCTCCCAAGATATTGAGATGGCTGTTAGTATAATTACTGAGTTTTTTGAAGTTCAAGAAATTCATCGGCCAGCGCACTTTCACGCAATTTGGCTGGGGTCTGTATACGTGTAGTTTATGAAAGGGGTTCTTGGGACCATACAGTCAGATGGCTCAGGTCGATTGAACTGAACTACTTCCACTGACAATTGGCGAGGCATAACTGAGTTGGAATCATGGTGGTTCCTTTCAATTACAGATTTTACGCCCATGGAAGACTGTTTCTATTCCCGTGTTAAGTCCAAAGTCTGGCTGATGCAAGCATCGTTGTGCCTCCATGGGTCCACTGCAATATATTCCGGCGTTATCTTGGTTCAGGATTGAGAATGCTGGGCTGACATTTCCACATCTCCGTTCAAGCAGGATTTGCAGGCGTGTGGCTATTTGCAGAATGCTGTTGGTTTCGCACACGAACTCGTTCGACTCTGCAGCGAGAGCAACGAGCATAGTGGCAGTGGACGCAGGGATCGACCACAACGGACATACCCCCCTGGGCGCAGCAACACTGTCGAGCATTAGCAAGGGCCTGGCCGATTACATCTTCTACAAGATTGGACAGAGACGAACGCAGGTCCAAATGAAGGTGTACTTTGGTCGAGGCTAATATATGAATGCTGCATCAGCCGCTGCAAGTGAGACGCCAAAAAACGGCGATTCGATGCTGGGGTGGCGTCGGGTACCATATTGATAGGCGGTTGGAGTCAAAAGCTCCGCCTTTCAGTATTCCTTCCAGCGCTGTATGGTTAGACTGCCGCCTGATCGGTAGGCCAAGGTCGTGGTAAAGGCAGTAATCCTTGTTGAGCCGAGCGAGGAAGAGGTGTCATGGGGCAGTTTAGGATTGGCTGTCGTGGCTGTCTTCCTGCTGGCAAGGCAGTCAGTATCGTGGGGTAGTGTGGAGAGGGAGCACGCTCACCGATGATTTCGACAGAAAGGTATAATGTTGGTTTACGTCGCGAATATCTCTTGCGTTTTGGCCGTTGAACAATGCAAAAAAAACTACCATCGCTGTTGGTTGAGTGATACTGGCGTCCGGTTGTTCTTTGCGTATGGGAAAGATTGGAGCGAAAAGTCGTGTGGGTGTGGGGGAGGAGTGGTGTCAGGACCTTTGGCACCGCGCTGGCACTGCCGGCACTACTGGCACCTAGGCGCCCTACCTTCCGCAACGGCACCTGGCACCGCTGGCACTGCGTAAGGTAGGCACCGTGACCCAGATGGCACCGTGGCGGCACCCCCTGGCACAGTCATTTTCTACTAAGGAAGGGAGAAGAAAGGCGCACCGCGCCATCACCGTGGCAAACGGCTCTGCGCGCCAAGCAAGCAAGCACGGCTCTCTACACTGGCGGAATTGCCCGATGAAACCTTAGTAAACGTATAATTCGTTAAAACCCCTGTGCGTTCCATTTAGCCGGTTGAATGATATTTCATGAAACCACATCTACTTGTCTCACATGGACAGCAGTGCGGATGCCTGGCACCCTGGGATTTCCCGTGACAAGAGGTGGACATGACGTTGATTTCAGAGTCCTGGGAGACTCGCTGTTGATAAGAACTCCTCCGAGATTATCGAGTCTCACCAACCTGCAAGGTACCTTGGATAGTCTGATCATGTACAATATAAAATTCCGTGTAACTTTTGGCTGGCGCCACATTGCTATCGAGGTACGACAAAAGCCCGATGTGCGCCTGGGGTAATAACATCGGTTATTCATCTGACGTTAACTTCCCCATGACCGTTTAGACACGGGCGAACGGCCTCAACACAGCTGGCAACGAATAAACGTATATAGATTCTCAACACGCCCGGTTGCTGTTTCTGACGTTAATGTGCACTGCGAGGAAAAAGGAAACGTGTGGCCACGCGCTCCATGACTTCGCAGAGCCACATCCCACTTACGTTTTCCAGATTGGTTCCAGCTTGTTGATTTGACAGGGGACGTGGAACAACGCAAAACAAGAACAAAAGCGCGATGTCTGTGTTGTTCCGAACGAGACTAGGGGCTGACTAAGTTGGTTCAACCTTCGGCGGATCTTAGTTAAGCAAGGGGAGTTAGCATTTCGGTGCATCACCGGAGTAACCATATCGATCCAGAAAGAAGTTGACCTAAGTTACCAACAAGTAGGCATATGTTTTAACTGTTTCTTGAGGTCATCTGATTGCGCTTTTAGAACCCCTCTCGATCCCTTTAGCAGCCTTTCATATCTAGCTACTGAAGAAGCAACTAAATATCAACCAGTAACAGTCACTTTAGCGGGCGAAAGATTCTGAAAGATGATGAAACGAATTGGATTCAGATGAACTTAAATAGTTGACCATTGTTTCAGAGTGCGCGATGTTCGTGCAATAGAGATAAATTGAGGAAAAGTGAATAACGTCAATTTCAATAATTTACGGAGTCCCGCTATCTATACCATCTCTGTTCTGTACACCAGAGTATTGTCTCCGGATACTCTAAGAGTTGAGATAGCCTGAGCAATTGTAATACTTATCCAACTAAGTAACAGCAGTAGTCCTGTGATTAAGATTCCTGGCTGAATGTCTCCACTCTTCCAAGACCAGCTGGCCCCGAGAAGGAGAGACGACGCGACCATCGCACACTTGTGTTTTGCAAATCCGTGATTGCCTGAGCCTTCCTTTGTGTCCAAGTCATGCCTGGCACACCGTACCTCATCCTCTGGAGAGAAAATATCAATCTGGCGGTTGATACTCTTCAATTTTCCGTAGTAATTGTTGGAGGGGTCACGAGACCGCTCGCAGTAGCTGTCTGATGGAGCCAATGCACTGTTGGATGCAAAGAAATCGGAGACAGACTAGACGTTTATTTTAGTGTTAGGACTTCGTAATAAAGTGGCAAACACTCACTTGATCACTAGCCTTGGCGTGAAGTTGGAGCAGGAGCTGCCGACTTAGGATTGGTTCTGACCTTAGGGCATGCTCTTCAGAGTCAACTTACAGTTTTCCGGG